CAGCAAACCATCCTCAATGGTTTTTTTAAGATTGGGCTTGCGGGGAGACATGAAACGTGCGCCCCTGGTGCATACGCAATTACTAAATAGACTTGCCAGTACCTCTGCGAGTGAGTCAGAACCAGGCTCGTCTGCTCCGGCAAAGCGGCTCCGGCTACGCTTTCATGGCCTGAGTACCTTAAAATTAGAAGAGGGAGAAGGATATGGGAATTAGTGCGTATGACTTATCTATGTCATAGGCCCTACTTTATTTGTTGACTATTTTCATTCATTTGACCCGACCCTCATGGGTATATCTGCTCCAGACTGCGACAGTTCCGATGACATTGGGAGCTTTTGGTGGAGGTTTATCGTATTTTGGCTCTATTGAGCCTGATCCCACTGCCCTAATTATGGGCCTCGAGCCAATTTGGATATATGCGTTGGCCACCTTCTCGTGTGCTGGTGAGTCCATATGCCAATTCTATCGCAACGATGTTTTATAACATTGGCTGGGCGGTATCTACTCTTCACTTTTATTTCCTAGGTGCCGGGTACCTCGTGGGACCATTCAGTCAGTCTCCGCTTTACTCGATGTTGTTAACCATCATCCCTTGTCCTGAGCACAATAATTTCATTGTTTACTTGTCCTCTCTAGTCGGATCTACGCTATGGCGTCTCACGCACCGTAAGAAGCTATCCCAGATTGACTCCAAGGAGCTGAATTCTTACCAACACATTGTCCGCAATCGGGTCGATCCATCATCTCAGAGTGCTACGGTGAGTTCGTTTTGCCAATTGCCCGGGGCTGTCTTGAACCCAACGTTTCCCCTTTGACCTAGAATCCTGTCCCTGACTACTATGGTGAGTCGGCTCCGCGATGATGCTTCATTCGGTTGCTGACTTCATCGGTCTCTCTCCTAGGTGAGAATGTTGGATCAATTAAGCAGTACCGCCAGTGGCTCCGTGACCAATCAAAATATCGGAAGAAAGCAGCATGGCCAGAGCAATAAGCAACCCCCCCCCCCTTCCAGTGACCAATACGGGATCCCGCCATTACACGCTCAACGTAGTTCAATAAACACGATAACAAGCCTTCACTTCCTCTATCTTCTTATGCGCATGCTTGCAGTTCTGTTGTTACAATGCGCGTCACTTCGCATCCATCACAGTTAATGCAATATCACTCAGATGGGGGTCGCACGAGGTTGCGAAGAGTAGCGATGAGATCCCGTTGTGCTTTGCGAGTGCCTGCTCAGCTAAATGTCGCGTTAATCCAAGTTCGTTGACCTGTAGGATCGGGGTCATCGTTAGAGAACGGGCACTTGGGACATGAAAAAGTGGGAGGATTAAGATGCGTACGATGATATCTATAGATTCTGCAGATTGTTTTGTGTCCAATGCAAGCTTTGGAGCTCTCTTCGGCGGCTCACTGAAGGCGCCTGAAGCAAATGCCTCTTCCATACGTTTCTTCGAAATGTGTGCCCATCTTGAAACTGAAACATCCATTATTCAGAGGCACGGAGCGGCAGAACAACGGAGAGTGGCGCTTACGCTTGCTATAACATCCGCCCCGGTCTACCGTTCGTCGACATGGGTCACAAAGTATCAAGGGACTCGATTGAATTCAAACAGTACGGATGCTGCCGGAATTATTCCCATCTGTGGCGCAACTCTTTCGAGCTGCTCTCAGAGCATCCATATCCATGATCAGTACAGACTATTTTGCTGAACAATACCTGCATGTTGACAAGTTATTGTTGATGGGTATTCGGCAACACCCGGAATAACCATATAAATCAACGCGGAAGTTCGTTTCCTTCTCTTCACTTTGATCAAACCCCTCGACGCTTTACATCTGCCTCTAGTCAATGAGTCAACTAGAGGTGGTCATCACCGAGCTTGGGAATAAGAATGTAATTCCTTATATCTGCTTTGTTGTACGGGAATTCAACGGGAACAGGGCTCGCATGGGGAGTACAGTTGAGACATTTTTTGCGTCATTGTTATGTTGTTGCCTAGTTTCTCCGTCATCTACAACGAATGCAATGCTTATCACTTTGATACCTGTCCTTCTCACATGCGACCAATGCCTACAGGGTCTTGAGATCCAATCCCATGTTTCTCAGCCCTTGAATGGACTGTCCCACCTGTTCTTCTGTTGACTTTGTTAAGTCCACGGTGATGATGTTTTCTTCCGTTGCGGGGTCCGGCCATTCGAGTGTCGCGAGCTGGCCACCCAGCATCGATTCGTTCATGAAATGACCCTTTCGCGCCGACATTCTCTGCAAGAGGACGTCGTGCGGTCCATCAAGATGAATGAAGTAAGTCCCCACATGTACCCGAGGTGCTGGGTCTGAGTGATGGGTTGTTTGATGAGAACTAGAGCGTTCTGATGCGGGGTATGGATGATTGTCTGGTATCTCTAAGGGGGTGGGATTGTGCAGCGCTGCTGTTCAGATGAAGGTGTGCGGAGAACATCACGATATCGCTTTCTCAGCGCTGAGCAGGCGATCACGATCACTTTGGATGTTCCCGAAGCAATTAGGTGTTCTGCAGTTGAGCGGATGAGAGAGAGCCATGGGTGTCGATCTTCGTCTGTTAATTGTTGACCCTGCGACATTTTGTCAATGTTTGATTTTGGGTGAAGATCATCCCCATCTTGGAATTGCGTATTTTGAATGGCACCCGCAAGGGCTTTGCCTGTGGTAGATTTTCCACATCCACTGACACCCTTGTGAGACGGGAATTAAGTGTTGAATCGGAATCGTTATCACCAGAAGACATCATGTACCATGACGATGATGAGCGCCCCCTTGTCCGCCGATACTTTTGGCCCGGACATTCGCAGCGGAAGCAATACAGGGAGTTCTGGATTCTGATAAGGGGACGTGACTGTTGACCCCCCGTTTTGCTTGCATCCCCGTCGCGCGGCAACAACCCCGCACTTTTCACATTCTGTAATACAGTATCAAGCATGCAGAGCAGCTCGATATGAATGTGACCGTCAAGTGGACCCACACGCTCCTCTCAAACTCTCACTGATCCTTGTTCGTGATGCTGGTATCACCGAAAATTTACAGCCTGGCCTTGCTTGACGATATAGAAATGAGTGGTATACAGCTCAATAACGCTTTTGAGCTACATTATTTTCCGGAACACTTGATGGACGAAGGAAGGGAAGATCTCTCCCACCTAATCTGTGACATAGACTATTCTACCGGTATCACTGCTGGTGATGTTGATGCCAGGGCACGAAACTGGGGCGCATCGCATGCGGGTGTGAACTCTCCCTTGTTTTGGTGCGACTTGCGGTATTGATTGGGCGGTTGGAAGCCAATCACTCGTCCATACTTATGGGCCACAGTTCTTTCGGAGCGCTGCATCGCGCTGAGAACATATAACAAACTTTTGAACTGTGTTGATGTTGCGATTGTGCTTGAATGCTCATTCACAACACCTGACATTTGACGTGGCTGTAGTATCGTTCTCGCTTTTCCCTGGCGAGAGACGGGAATCCCGTGGTAACGCGAATGACGTTGGGAACTTTCGCAGGCTCTGTGATGGCCTTGTGAACGTCAACAACTTTCAACCGAGTGCCACACTGCATTTGACAGGTACCAATGCGCAGGGTGGCACGTGTACGACCACTTGGTCCTTTCTTTTCGGTTTCGATACCTCCCCTTCCGCTCGCCTTGGAGCTGCACCTCAACCAGTTGCGCCATCATTCGTCGCCGTGCGTCCTAAGGTCTACGCTCCAACCCCCAACACACACAAGCTCAGCGTCTCCGACTCACCCAAAGTAATCTCTGTTGGTGCCGCCATAATAGCTTTCGCGTCGCTCTCCACATGTACAGCACACACCCCCGCTAGAAGGGCCCTGAACCTGGATGAACCACCGACGCTGCGATTCGTTCAACACTCCCAGGACCCTCAAAGTCGGGAGTCAGATAACTTGCCCTCAATTTCTTCATTTCGCTGAATAATACGTGGCAATTCGTCCGCCTTGGGTGATAGTTGGCCAACTTGCAAATTATCTGGGGAATATGAATGAGGGTTGGGAGCTGGACTTCATTAGCTGGATCATAATGATACATTTCTGCGGAAGCTGCTGTTAACCGTGCCAGGATTCTATATTCATGGCCTCACGGATGATTCTGCTGGAAACTTGTATGCTTGGGGAACATGGAAGGGCTAGTGGGCCTTACAAGTGATGATACTCCGTGTTTTTACTTGGGGGATCAGCTATTGCGACTCCTCTCGGAATGGCAGTTCTTTTCTCTTGACCAACGTAGAGTCATCACAGGGCCAGACATGATTAATGAATCAGGAAGGTCCAGCTTTCCAACCAGCCTCATATGCGTGTGCGTGTGCGTGTCATTTTCAACTGGGTTTCACTGTACACAATCAGTACAGGGCCGTGCTATGTACCTCCCATCTTACCAGCTCTTCAACCGTCTGCCAGTATCCCATCTATTCACCGTTTACCATGCAGTCGCCGGTATCCACAAGACCGCTTCATCCCTCGAGTCGCAATGACCTAAGTTTGAGGATCAGAATCCCGGATAATTAATCGGGCAGCCCACTAGACCTTGCTGTTGAAAATTGCCTCCCTGTGAGCGACGGTAGCGATGGTGCGTAGGGGCCGGAGGCGCTAAGCGCCCATTCAGATGCGCGCGTCTAAACACCCACTAACGATATGATGCCGGAGTTGAGTACGTTGAGAAAGAAAGGAAGACATGATCGAAACGCATACTTCAACGTAGCGTAGAGAGTGGCATATGGTAATCAAAGAGGTAGCGTAGAAAGATGAGAAAGGACCACGCGAGCGACTGCCACGTGTCAGCGCTATCCCCGCTGTCCACTCACGCGCCCGGGAGAGCCCCCCAGAGCTAAAGCCAGGGGCAGCTTCTGGACGACAGCAAGGTGGACTCATCCCAGAAGAACCAGCCGCATATAATCACCAGCCACGTCCCTGGTGATTTCTGGCTAGAAAAGCCAGCCCCCGGTGCTCTTCGTGATCTGCAGGACATTTTATCCAATGCATTACGAACTGCCGCGTTCAACGTTGGCAATACGCCCATGCACCCCACCTGTACTGAATTTCGAGCAACCTATCGAGGTTCAACAGTGCCAGATTGTTCTCCATTCATTGGATAACGTGTGTGCCCTCTTACCTTTATTCGGATGGTTGGCTTGAATGCGTCGTAGAGGTTGCCATTGATTGGAGCCGAGTGTACCGTATCAAGCCGTAAGGCTCATCGAATTCGGGTTGCATGGCTGAAATAAAGTAATATGGTGCCAACAACAAAACTCGTGATAGTCAGATGTCCATTATTGAGGACCAAAATCCTTTTTACAGTTTTGGCATGCTACAATGATGCAGGATCGAACCCAACAAAAGCGTCCTTGAATGCTTCCGCGTCTCGCGTCTCCTTATCTTCCGATTGAGAACAAGCCTTCCAGTCAGCACGATCCTTCAACGCAAGATAATGTGCAAGCGCTTCCCTGTGTAGGTGGGAAACAGTGTCATCAATGGCAATGTCGGTGATAGAGTGTGGACTTTACTCGCCTCCCGAATTGGAGATTAAACATCACTCCAGGCCTCAAGATATGCACCATCTTCCTCCCATCTGGTAGATCGACTCTAAAATAGCCCACCCACCAGCAGCTTCGCCCAATGCCTTGACAGGATCGTCTTCCCACACAACCTGTCCGCCCCCATAAGCGCTGAACGCCCCTTCCACCCCATCCTTCTTCGACTCGGGTACCGGTACAACCTGGATGTGTGCGTGTCCACCCTTTCCCGACAGTCTTGACATCTCGAAGAAAACCGGGACAGCGCCATATTTAGCATACATCGTGCGCAGAGCTGCCCTGTACGTGTCAACCTCAGAAAGAACTGGGGGCGCAAGGTCGGTCGGTATTGTGCTCAAAGTTGGATAGTGGGAGATTGGAATAATGAGGATGTGGCCGCCACCAGGCACGTGAGTCGGAGAAAGGGTGTCTGGGTCTGTTGGCAGAAGTGGACCTTTTGCCAATGTAACGTACACTTCTGTTCCAATGGAGACGATAAGATGCTTCCTGTAACAACCAATCAACACCAGGACCTGCTTTTTCGGTCCTTACTCACGACAATCCTGGATTGGATAAACAAAACCAACATTCGGCGGCTGTGAAGAGGGACACTTGAGTGACACTAGATCGAACATCGGCATCACAGACTTACGCTGTATTTCTCTCACGGGATCACGTCGTGGTCGTTCCTTCATAGAAGGACAGTCGCGTATTAAATGTGCCTCGCTTCCGCAAGCTCGGCATATATAGCCTGGCGGCGGCTTCCTGCCTCCAGTATCTCCTGTTGCGTACTTTTCAGGACAGTCTTTAATATAATGCTGTAGACACCAGATGGTAAGTAATGAGCAGCGAGCGGATCGAAAAAACTGACGTCCGCGGATTGACATATGCGACAAATATAGCCTTCTGGTGGTCGTTTTGTTGATTTTTTGGCTTCAGAATTGTTTTGGTGGACCGAACCCTGCTGATCTTTTGGGACTGTTGAGGCAAGGCCATTCTCATACGGAAGAACAGTAGAGCACTCACCTCGTCGGGGGCGTTTCACCCGAACATCGCCAAAAATGAAATTGCCGCCATCATCATCATCATCAGTGGATCTTTTAGCACCAGTCCTCGAATCCAACTGGAATGGATTTTCAGTGCAATTGGCAGGGATCGATGGCTTTGGAGACAAGGGTGTAATGGGAGCGATGGAGAACGCATAAAACCACTGGGGGGATGTTAGTAACTGTTAAGAAGCGAATTAAATTAATGACCGACCCTAGGTTTTTTAATTCCAGAAGTGTCAGTAGGCCCACCAAACGCCCCCAAACTAATGAAACGGGTTATGGCATGACCGCCACTCCAGATGAAGGGTTCACGTTCCCAGAAGACAGCTGGACTTCCCCTCCGGCGACAAAGTGATACCGCGGACGAGAGGCGGATACTACATCATCCAGGGGGGAACCAAACTAGCACTGTCGATTGATGGAGGGACAGATTTAGATTGTTTAATGATTTTAGCCGGCCACCCGTGTGTCAACAGAACATCGATTTGGACGTTGGAGACTGATGACCTGAGTGACGCAAGAGTCATCTGATTGGCAGAATCACCAAGGGATGGTAGTGATGGTGATTTGAGGAACGAAGCAACATTTGCAGCATTGAATGTAGAAGATTCCGGGCCAAGGTCAGACCCCTCCCCATATGTTTTTGCATCAAACTGGCCACCAAGGCTAGCGATCGTCAGCTTTTGTGAGGTAGTAATTATTGTGGTTTTCCCTGCCATTTTCATGAATGTAAGCCGCCGTTTAGTGGAGACCGGCCTCACCAAGCAGATACACATTGTGACATATTTCGCCACCAGTTTCGGCCGTTTTCTCCAGCACAGGAGGGGTATTGGATGAATCCCCTGAGTTACATATGTGGGAAAGGGCACTAGTGATATTCAATGGTCGTAGCAGGCCTGCATCAGCGAAGCTCACCCTCAATTTCGCCAGCCAGTAATTCCTGCAATTCTTCTTCACCACCCGGCGGCCCAAAAAAGTCCCCAGCGCACAAAAGGAGCTCAAACTTCCCATGCTTCGCATCAATGGCCTTAACCTTTTCGAATAAAGACTTGAAAGATCCAAGGGGTGAACCAACGGCCAATCTGGTTGTGCCATAAGTAGTCATTATGCAATATCCCGATGTGGGCGGGGACAAACATCTTAGTAGACATCCCTATCTTTCATCCGTCGACAAGAACGCCTTGAGGCCTGTTACTTGCGGCGACCGAAAGCAGTGTTTTCAATGGCGGAAATGAATCCCAGTAAGCGCCAGGTTGGAGATTGCAATTCAATACTGGCTACACGTGATGACCTCCGCGTTTTGTGTGCTGGGACGCCTTCGCCAATGAGCAAGTTGAATGGACCTTCTGATGCTTCGCAGAGGGCTGGGTTAATTTGTCTGGGGCGGAGTTGGCACTAGAGAAAACTGGGCTGCCTATCAGTTGGCTTCGCAAGCCAAAGCTTCCTTCAAGAAAATGGCTCATTTTCTGGGGAATTGTTTCTACACTTGGCTATCTCGCCTGGGACGATAAGCGGAAATGCAAGCCATAAAGCCGATTATATTTCTCGCGTCAAGCATTTGGCTGATTATCCTTTGGGCAGCAAGGACCATGCCCGAAAGGTGCAGGTTTATGCGTGCAAATGGCCCGGAGATGACATGGCCAATAGAAGCATGAAGCATTTTAGGAAATACGTTAAGGCCAGTTGCGCTTATGCTGCTGTGGAGGAGATGGGCTTATTGTCAATATTTTTTCAGCCAATCTTGCATGCCGCAGCTGTTGATTATGAGATGAGGAATGGGAATTATCATGGAGCGATATCTGACCTAGTCCGAGAAAGAGTACGCCAAAGACGGGAGGCGGATGCCGGCGCCACGGCTCCCCTGGGGCCATGGGATACCTCCAGCACCAAATTGGACATTCAGTCAGAGCGCAACCGGGAAATGGAAGAGGGTGTGGTCATCATTGGAAGGCACACCTTAAGGAGTACATGCATGGACTCTGCGAGGGTTGGACGTCGTCTTTGGCTAAGGTGGACAAAGAAGAGGCCCTTGCTGCCCTTCTTGCCGAAGACGGTGCTTTTGACGAGCCTGATGAGCTATAAACACTCGTGAATCGGATCCCCCAGACCTTTCGCGCAGCCAACCTGTCTAACCCCCCAATTCAACCCTCCCCTCTCTTGTCCATGGGTAGTTTACGCGGGCCATTCACTCCTCGGGCACCTTCAGCATCCCAAGAAACCTCCGTTGCTGATGCTTTAAATCATGCACCCGTCTCCATCCCGCTCCAACCACCATTCCTCTTTGTGGAGTTTCCTAACCGTATTGGTTTTGAAACATTCCCATGATGATATATGACTTTTTTAATGAGCACAGGCGGGTGGAGGCGGGGTGCGAAGCGGCGTATCGCCTCGTATTTGCCCAGATACGCCCATTCATTCCTCCGACATCAATAAACCGGACCAACGACGCTCCTGATGCGCCCACACCATTTCCCAGTCACGGGTTTGGTCTAGGGGGTGACCTTGACTTCGACCAGGATAAGGAGAAGATGTATGGCCGTGGATATCGTGACACCCTGGCAACTATCGCTGACGCTCGCAAGAAATACTACCAAGATTGCTTCGCAAGCTCGAGGTGACCCGCTCACTTGCACGAGGAGAAAGGGAGCCGACAAAAGACGAGAAGGCATATCCACCACCGACTGAGGTGGAACTTCGGGCGGAGCGGCTCAAAAAGGAGTTGCGGTGGAGAGAGGATGAGAAAGCCTATCAATGGCTGCGTCACGGCATGGGGGTCACTTGGGATGATCGATTCAATGGGATATTTGGTGTGTTCCGCAACCCTTCAGCGGAGGAGGTACGGGCTACCCTACCTCTCCATCGGCGACTTCGTCGGATACAGCTTGACGGAAAAGGGCTACATTGGGTTACAGACTTGCTTCTCTTTAAAAGTACAGTATATAGTTAACTTTCACAATTACAATTTTCCCCCTTCCAATACTGTTTGAACTGTGGGATATAGGTGGTGTTACAAGAAATGGGGTTTGGGGGTCATCATACTCCTAAGTAGTACGTAAACTTGATCACGCAGCACCAACAGGGGAGAATGTTAGCGGGCTTTGGAGAGCGAGTAGTTATGGCGCTCACTGACTTTATTCGTTCATTATCACCTGCGTGGAGCGAGTGGTTCCCGTTTATACAGTGTCCGATAAGTGTTGAGCACATGCCCAACAGACAACTCGGATACTTGAACGGAATAATCCGTCAGAATACGGTACAGCTCACGCTCGGTAAATGGGAGGCGGTCCGGGGGCTGGTGTTTGATGACACTGTCCAAGTAAACTGCGGCGTCTGAAACGTGTCGAGGGGTGGGAGTGATTGCCCCCGTTGCTCCACGTCGTAACATGTCCATTTTCACACAAAACCCGTAGTTCCATGGTGCGGCTACGACTTGCAGCCCGGGCTGTCTGAAGATGGTCTCTCGTGGCCCACGTCCCAACACCTCCATCAATGACTGCCAATTTTCCCCCACGGGTAATTTGTTCGTTTGTTCGATTTTCCGAGAAGGGAGACCCAAATGGGCTATGGCTCCGTGCATGGCGACTTCGAGATACGTGCGATGAGAGATGGCAGGACCAAGAAACTCAATGTCGTCGGTTTGATCCGCAATTCGAAGATAAAGTACATCCACCACACCGCCAACAGCAACGAGGGTAGCTTCTGCCCCCTTACGGAGAGATAATCAGCTACATACTGAAAGCAGCGGATGATTTGATCGGATTTAACGAAGGCGCTTTGGGTTTCTCGAGTTGCAAAGGGGGCGTACGGCTCGGTGGCGGCGATCGTGACGCATTGTCCCATGGCGACAACTCCCGGGGTAACGAAGAACGCAGGTTGGGCTTTGGGATACGTTCCTCATATCTTATATGAAGACAGGTCGGCACGATGCCGAATGTAGAGATTGGGAAAATGGCTCTTGACACAAGGCATCGCCGGTATCCCGTTTTGAGCAGTTCTCCTCATATGCCTAACAAGTCGGATCACCCAGTAATAAGATTTGCGGTAACATAAATGTCCCAAGAATGGGAGGTGAGATGCCAAAGTGATTTTAAGGGTGAGATACGCGTTGGCTTTTATGCATTGCCAGATTGCCTAAGCCCAAGAGGGGCGACTACTCGGACGAGTGACAAAAAAGCATAACCGATAGTTGAAAAATGACGTCGAAATCGCTTCCGCGATCTGCGATCTCTTCTGCTCGATATTATCTGATTTTGAGCCGAATGAAGAGCACAAAACTCGCGGTCAAGCGTGGATTAAAAATTTGATTCCTCACTTAGTATATACAATAAACTTCTTGAAACGAGTTGCATAACATGTTGCGGATCTGGGCGCCTGACGCTGAAGGACCAAGGGGCTGAGGAGGAACGATTGTTATCTGAAAGCATCGTGATCAAGGTCGGCGCGCCGAGGGTGGGGCTAGAGTATTTACTCATGGGCATTTGAAGGTCCAACCCTGAACGTAGTGGAGACAAGGGTGTATTGGCCACCCGGATGTTCGTCTAAATTGGCGCAACTCAGAATAATTGTCCTGACACGTAAAAGATAGGGAGAGTTTATGCCCAATTCAAGTGGCCAAGTGACTTGTAACGGGTCATCGAGGGGACTCTGGGACCACGTATTGGATTTGCGTAGGAAAAACAGTCGTCCACGCCTACATCAAGGGACAAAGGGTTGTGACCGTGTCAGTCCAAATTAATGGGCCTTCGGAGATAGCAGCGGGAGTAAGTTCGAAAATAGCAATTGACGCGCTGGAACCCCAAGAGCAGGTGGGCGAATCTGAAGGGCAAGAAGCAAACACTTCGTTGTTGCTTACAGTAACAAGACACTAGAAACGGACATCTGATCTCGGGTAGTGGGTGTTATTTGGGTGACAAAGGGTAGAGTTGAGTATGCTGTGGACATAACTGCAAATGAACCATATTCATGCAATTGAAGAAAGCCAGGAGAAGACAGCGATAGTCTCGGAAATCGAAGCTGCTCGGGAATGACGGTAATTTCAGTGCATGAGACAATTGGATTCACGCATTGAAGCGGGAACACACCAGGGTTAGGCTGAGTCGCGGATCACAACAGCTTAAGATGCTGAAGCCGTCGAAAACCCTTTTTTCCAAATCCATATTGGGAGCCGGATAAACGGCTGGACGTTATAGAATCTTTCCCTCAAGCGGCCTCGAATCATAATTACATACGGTGAAGGCACTTGGCTGCCTGGGTGTTCTGTAAAGGCTGAGCAATAATGTCCCAGGGCTGAGATGCTGCACACGCTGCACAGAGTGTCAGGTGGCTCAGGGTTATCGGCGACGCAGCAAGAGAGTATCAGGGCGTGGATGCATCATTAAAACCATAGGAGGAAAAAAACTTCATGGAGCCGGGCCGATGCCTATCAAGCATGTCCTCATTGCTGAAACGTTGGTAGTTGTTCGGCTAAGGTTGCTTTCGGTCGTGGGACCGATTTAACACAACGCCCGCTGTTGAGCAAGGGTCGCTTCTGCATTTCATGGTCGGATAGTAGAGGCCGAAAAGAATGGGAAGAGTTTGAATTGAGTACGCCACTAAATAGTCTGTTCGGAATACTCTCGGGCCATCTCTTATCTCTGGATGGACTCGCGTAGGTGGGCGACGGCAGGAACAAGGTCTGTGGAATTAGCTCAATCTTGAAAAGCACGGTGGGGGTGCCATCTTGCACTTGAGGTACGCACATAAGACCAAAGCCCAAAGATCAGATTTAGGCTTGGTCACCAACTCTGGCATTAGAAAAACGCAATCCTATCGTTTCCTCACATCACTGACCCGGATAGAATTTGGTTAAGGATTGGTGTCTGCGCCAGCTAAGCCCTCCCTTTGCGACGGGCACTTGTGCAGAGACAGTGTGTCTACAGTTAGAGGCCCTAAGATCAGCCAGTAAACGAGAGCCCTAGCTAGGGATGGGTCCAAGATGGTGGGAAAGTTGGACAAGAATCAAAAATCTCTATTTCTGGGCGTTTGTGCCGGAAGACCATGCCCTAACAATTCGCCATACACCCTTCGGACCTGTCACCAGGCCAGACACCCGGGATCACTAAGGATAGCACCAGCAACGACGGCGCGGCTTCTTGCCCAGAAAAACCAGGATTTGGATTTGCCGCCCGTGACACGTTCTGCCTCATGTTGACGCTTATGACCTCCCTGCGAGATAGATTGAGACACATATTCGGCTAAGTCGGTTTCGGTTGCCCTTAGTGCTGATCGGCTCGGCAAGGTTCGGCCTTTTCTCTGCAGGGCAGCCCTAGCGGACTCGATTAGGTAGGGTCCCAGCTTCTAGACTCAATCTCCGACTTGCTTTTTTATTGGATATCCTGTGACTAACAGCATCCAGGCGCTTCGTTCAAGATGCTATCCATCCTTCCAGCGTCCCACCGAGGATCTTACCAGCGTTACTCGTATCTGTTACTTCGGACCCATCGACGTGTTCGTATCACTCACTGGCTTGACTCCTCGTTACTCGTCGTCGGGTATTGCCCCAAATGATACATCGATCTCAATTCCCCCTCACCTTCCGTGAAATCAGCCCTGCGGATCTGCTCCGCGCCGATTCCCAATCCAAACACTGGGAAAATCCGGGAGCGTGGCTGGAAGGTGGAGGGATATTTCCCCGGCGACACCGGGAAGGCATCGAATATTACTTGTGGCAGAGCGTTTGGTCGAATTGTTGTTGTGCCTGTTGTAGGGGCTGCGAACAGTCCCTACCATACACAGAAAAGGGGGAAGGAAATGCGCCCTTGCTGGTGGAGAAACTAAGAGGTACCGATGGAAATGGCTAGGACTGAGAGTCATTTGCTGATCAGTGGCCGGATTGCGCGCGGCGAAATCTGCAGCTGGGAGCAGTGTCAAAAGTCGGTTTGATAAGCCACAAAGGGAACGGCCTAATTCGAGATGGTAGGAGGGTGTGGCCTACATCCGATAGTCTGGCCGATGGGGTGGAAGGCAGTTAGACTAGGCCGAAAGCGTGGAGAGGAGGCCGAGCGACGCCAGTTTATTGGCCCTTCTACGTGGGCAATGCACCAAAGTGTTGCTCAGGATTGGAACCGGTCAAGTCACTACTGTAGGAAGTCGCCTGCGAGACCACACAGCAATAATTCAGGCAGATAGTGTCCTTCACCAGTGGCGCGCTTCAAAATATTTATCAAGCCCACAAATTATTTTGAAAAAGACTTGAGTGACAGGAGGGTAGGAACATAGGTAGTTAGTGGAAGAAGGTAGCCGGTTCCGGCTATCGGAACCACTGCATTAGTTCGTCTTCCGGGGTAGTAGAACTCGTTTGATAGACTATACCATGAACCAGGATTTCGGAAAGCTGGATGGGAAAGCAACCAGCCAACGGCGAGGAGAAACTGACGCTATATGATGCATTGCTTCAAAGTGTCGTCCAAGGCTGGAGTGTCAGTCTGAAAAATCCGGGCCCCATTAATTATGTAGGCGGTATGGGCTCCGGGCGCCCGTCCCTCCACGCGCCGCAAGCACTAATGAAAACGTCCTCGGAAAAGTGCCTTAGGGCGGTTCCTGGATTGGGGAGATTTATTCTCTCGGGTGCAAGTGGTACCAGGGCGCAGAATGCGGGCACAGTGACCAATTTATGAAAAAGCGACATTGATTCCTCTGTTACAGGCGAGGGCTTGGAGTGCTGTCTGACAATGGAGCCTACCTGAGAGAAAACGTAGGATATTGCTGGCTTGCGTGGCCGGCAGTGCGGCGGACAATCCATGAACTCTTTAATGGGAAACAATGCTTCAGAGTGTGTCCAAGGTCAGAAGGTCGGCTTGACAGGTTAGGCAGCAAATGGCGGGTGGGGATGCCTGGAGGCGGCCAACGAAGGGAAACTCAGTAATTGGATATGCCGAACAGGGTTAGGAAGCACGATCGAGGAATTGCTACGAGACAGGGCCAACGCATCTTGATACTTAGCGGTAGAGGGCAACCAATTCTTTAGCACAGTACTCCCTTAGAGTAGAGCACCGGGAAAGCTGTGGAAGATTGATAGATTGCCGCTAGCCGGGATCGTAGAGTGTCGAGCAAGAGGCAGCTATGACTCATGACTCGGTGACTCGGATAAGTTCTTGCTGAGCCTTCGCGGCACTAGGAGGGTTTGTATCGGCTCGAATTGGAGAGCAATCTGAGAGGAAGCGTAATTCGCACGCACCACGACCCTTTCCAGACGTCTAAGCTTGAGGAACAGGTAGCAGTAGATTCGTCCTAACCCACTTATCAGTCAAGGTCCACCGACAGAACGTTCGTGATCTGGAGAAAGCGACGGGCCATCGTTTTGTGAATCTTTTCCACCAAGGACCGTCATCGAGACCATTCTGGTGAACACGCATCAGGACAAAGTCCCGGAAAGAGTAGTGTCAATGAGATTGGTACCCGCATTTCACAAATCTCATAAGCTGAGCTCCGATTAAATTCAGCTGTGGACGACCGGACAACAGGTGACAGAATAATGCCCTGAACCGAAGTTGAGAGCGATCGCTCCGCAGCTATAATGACGCCAGCCACGATGCGGCGGTCGTGCGCAGAGTCACACACTCCCTGGCCAGGATAGAGGCGGACAGTTGATTCATCGCTTACTCGGCGGGCGCATGGTCATGTTGCAGATTGACATCGAGTAGCAGAAGTTGATGGATCCTTGCCATTCTTCTTCGGATGATCCAAAGTGTGCGTTTCCACATGAATAAACCGACAGCGAGCGACAATTTCATGAACAAGGGCGTTTAACAACAGGGCTGATTGGGCCTTGCTTAGTCTGGCCGATTGTGAATAGACATAGACGGGCCAATCCTGGGTCCTAGCATTGTCGGAGAGATTGATGCTAGACAGAGACGTGACGTTTTACTTCCTTGAAGCAATAAAGAGCTTGGGTAGTAGTGGTGAATGTGGGGCCTCGTTGTGAGGAAGGTCGGCGAGTGGTTCAAAGCATTTGCTTTGCACTCATCAGGAGGATCAGTGACCACCATTATTGGCCTCTCAGAAGAGGGCAACCTTATCAGGAGAGGGTCTCACAGCAATGGATCTTAAAGGATGTATCGGCGAGATTGGATTCATCACCGGGCGCGGATAAGGACCGCGATAATTTTCGCTCTTCAGTGAACCAGTCGCTAAACACACTGACCGCGTTCACTCGTTGTAGAAACCTGTTATCTCTCGATTTTCCATCTCTTGACAATTGCATGCGCCGCATTGACCTAGCTGGCGCTGGCCACAGGAGTAAGAAACATGATCCAATTCTCGTGTGCAGTGTGTCGCAACACTAGCTCTGTAGATGCTCTATGAACCCAGCAGAAGCTCCTTCCTAACGAAGGCTTTCCATACTTCAATATCCAACGGAGTGAAACCCAGTTTCTGACGAACAACGTGTGGCTCTGAACGTACGAGTCCCACCACGGGGACGTCCTAGGCGTTCAAAGGTGCTGCCTTCTCGTACCGGTGAGGAATGCCGGTCGTGAGCTCGTCACAACCTGGTTAGCGAATGGAACCGCACGAAAATAAGTACTGGGGAGCCCCGAAGGCCTACCCCTCCTCCCTTGTGGTCGAATTACCCAGCGCTATAGTCTCTCTCGGGCCCAGAACTTCCCCGAATTCGACCCGCCCTTCCTGAATATCTATCCACTGACTCGAGTACTCAAACCGTTGCCTAATGAGAATCGCAACGGACGACACATCGCGAAAGGCTCGCTGAATTTCCCGCCTCGTTGGAATGGAGAAAGGGCGGCGAGGGCTGCTCTGAGCTTTGGGCCAAGTAAGAACAGCACGAAGGGTCGCCTCAGTACGGCGACCAACTGAACACGATCAGTAGCGATCAGTTTAGCTCTGAGGTGATCCAGGCACCATTCAAGTTGACAGTCTCGCATCAGGGTGCTGGCTCATTCAATCGGGGATTTCCATTTCGAGAGGGCAGCCACGCTGTTGTTTACTTTCTCGTTGCGCGAGACTGTCAGCGAACTTGGCTATCTTGCTCCACCCACGCTTGGGGTCACATCCACTCTCGTTCATCCCCCTACATTGGCCCCTCACAGGCCTCGTATGAATTTCGTCCTCAAATCGTCAACAACTCCTCCACGTAGATGCCACCTCCCACAGCATCTGACCTATGGCTCACCTCGCGTCGCTTTGGGTTGGTGATAGATGCCGGCTCATCGGGATCTCGGCTGCAGATATATAGCTGGAAAGATGCTCGTTCTGTCAGGCAAACCCTAGACCTCGAAGCCCTGGACAGGTTACCGCAGGTCGAGAAAGGTGTACCTTCTGGTGATGATTGGCTTCATAAAGTCGAGCCGGGTCTGTATTTAGCTCCATGGTGCTAATTCGTCAGTTCTGCTCACTCATATTTGCTTATCAGGTATCTCTTCATTTGCGCAGAACCCAATGGGTATTCCAGAATATCTTGCGCCACTCCTTGAGCACGCAAAGGACACGGTGCCCCCATCCTTACACCGAGAAACTCCGATATTCCTCCTTGCAACGGCTGGAATGCGACTTCTCCCCAAAGACCAGCAGAATAGCATAATCGAAGCCACGTGTATGTTCTTCCGAGCCAATTCCAGCTTCCGACTTGAGGCGCCGTCGATAATCGGACCATGTGGATCAAGCGTGCGAATTATTAGTGGAGAGGAGGAGGGTATATTTGGCTGGATTTCTGTCAATTACTTGATGGACGGCTTCACTGGACATGACCAACATCATCGTGGAACATATGGTTTCCTTGACATGGGCGGGGCATCAACTCAGATTGCGTTCGAGCCAGGCCCCTCGGAGCGTGAATCAATGTCTCATACGACTGCAGACACTTTGATTGACGTCCGGTTGCGCTTGTTGAGTGGAGAAGAAATCGAGCATCCCGTGTTCGTCACAACTTGGCTAGGATACGGGACGAATCAAGCTCGCGAACGATACATCGGGTCACAAGTGAAGAACTGGTTATCGTCCGGACATGGATCCACAAATTCCATTCCAGATCCATGTCTTCCTAAACAACTCAATATCCCCCTGTCACCTCAAGCCATTCCGGGGACAGATGCGAAGGCCGGGGAGTCCCATGAATTGATTGGGACGGGCTCGTTCGAACAATGCTTGGTGCAGACCGCTCCGCTACTGAACAACGATCGTCCATGTCCTGATGTGTCATGCCTTTTCAATGGTGTCCCAGCTCCGCGCATTGATTTCTCGCTCTCTAAATTCATCGGCGTTTCGGAATACTGGTACTCGTCCGAGCACGTTTTCGGACTTGGTGGAGCATATGACGTTGTTCAGTATGAGCGCGCTGCTATCGAATTCTGTTCGCGGGAATGGTCGGATATCGTTCAAGAGCACAAGGAGACACATTTTGACGAGTTTGGGAAGCCAATTCCACCTGGTACATGGGGTAAGGAAGTTGGTCTGAATCGTCTACAGCTGCAATGCTTCAAGGCAGCTTGGGTCGTTAATGTCCTCCATCAGGGGATTGGACTTCCCCGGATTGTTGACTCTGGGGGCAATCAAACCACGGGAGAGGCTGGTTCGGCTGATGAGAAAGCCAAGGCAAAAGGGCTTGGACCGAACCTCGTCGGCCCAGCCACTTTCCAGAGTGTCGACACTATTGGCGACACGGCGGTAAGCTGGACACTTGGGAAGATGGTGCTGGAAGCAAGTAAAGAGGTACCACCTATCAGCTTGAAAACTCCCCCCCTCCTTGACCCCAACCCAAATCGACACCCATCTTGGTCGGAATCGCATGGCGGTATCGGCAGATCGTCGACGATTCACTTCCATTTGATGTCTCCAACGTTGTATCCCGTCTACATGGTTTTGATGATCATGTGTATTTTCCTCGTTCACATCCTCCGCCGAAGAATCCTGCCGAACCTTGTTTTGCCATTGCGTTCTAGACGTCGCCACAGCGGTCCCACTTATGAATACTTGAATATGGAAGAAGGGGGTGGCAGTAACTTATCATCTTCCTCCTCGCCGCCCAGTTCTCCCACTTCTACCGCTTTCGTTCCAAAGTCCTCTGGCATCTTGAAATCTGTTCGCCGGATTTTTCGCTTCTTGACCAAACCGATTCGTCGACAGTTGGAATACAGTCGTACTCTGTATCGGAACAAGCCAATACGCTCGAGCGCTGGCAAGAATCTCATGACTCAACCGCCACTTAACCAGGCTCGCTCTATACCCACGGGATTTTCGGCCATGACCTCAAATCGAATGCATCATCCTCCAAATCTTAGGTCCTTCAGTTATGACACTGCCGTCGCACCACCACCGAGACCGAAAAGACAACTATCCGGTTCGATTCTTCCTTCACTTATCTCTCGTGGCCCCACCACATCACCTTCCATGTCACAACGAAGTAGCTTCAGCGGTTCACGACCACCATCGATACGTATCCCAAGCTCGAGACCTCCTTCCGAGCCGGGTAACGACAGCGACTCGGATCCCAGCGGACAGGAGCTTGAATTTGATTATACATACGATGATGATTATCGGACTAATATGAACCTGGCCACTCGACCGGGTCCGCCAGTTAGCCCGAGCGGGAGGTTGGCGGCTCTTGGGGTGTTGCATAGTCTAGGTTCAAGAAATTCATCTCAGGTCAACCTCACTTCTGCAGTTCCCCGGGCGATGAACGTTTCACGATTGGAATATTATGATCATTAGTAGGACGTTCTGGTTCTGTCTGTGAAATTTTTTCTCCATTTTTTCTGCTTTCGCAGCAGGCCTTTTTGGACAAATTGGACTTGTTCAAGTTATCATTTCTTTTTAAAATTACTGTCGCTCTTGTACTAGTTATGTCAGTTTTGCTTTAATGGACAAACAAGTTGATTGGTATGTATGAATGTATTGCTGTTCTTAATTTTCGGTGACAACCCTTCCTTTGAGGATCCTGATGTCTTCCCTAGGCCTAGAGATAGCCCAGGTAAGCAACTCGATACCGATGATGATGGAATTTCAGAAAAAACCCTCACCTATCTTGCCCGTCCGTAGCTACAGCGCCGAGTCGTTGAACGACTCGCATCCCACCACTTACTCGCCCGAAGATTGTATGCTTGCCATCCAAGTAGGGTGTCGGAGCTAGAGTGATGAAAAATTGAGACCCTGCCGACCCCAAGAAGAAGATTCTTTTTTCAGTGAATTCCAAACCAAAAAGAAAAAAACCATAAGCATCATAAATAGTCTTCGAACCATTTGTGTCGGGTCCAGCGTTCGCCATGGCGAGAATGCCTGCTCCAACGAATCGTAAATCGGGATGTATCTCATCGTCACTATTGTATAAACAATGATAGATAGAGTGCAGGAATTAGGATCAGATTTGCGGAAGAGTTAGTTAGTAGGACGGCTGGCTGGCTGGCATGGAGTAGCACTGACAACTTGGGCCCATAGATGCTCGTTCCACCTCGTCCAGTGCCAGTTGGATCACCACTTTGAGCCATAAAGTCCTAAGCAGTATTTGGCGTCAGGCAAATTCAAAGATACAATGTTCCAGTAACGTTGGACGAGCATACAGGAATGATTCTGTGCCAGATTACTTTGTTGTAGTAACCGCGCTTAGCCAGCTCCGCAAAATTCTTACACGTCTGAATAACGACGATTTGCATTCCATCACCCACACACACACACAAAAAAAAACGTGCTTGCTTGTACCACTCACCTTGGGTGCATGATCCCAATATAGCTCAAGCGTAATTTCTCCCAGAGAAGTCTCCAAAATGACAGAAGTCATGATTAACCCTGGCTATTCCCGAAGGACACCACACTTCTTCAACCCATGCTTGTCCTGAATCGGCAAGGTCTGCGCACTTTGCTCAATACAGCTCATCGTCATGCTCATATCACCCCTGGACGACTGCTCCGAGCCGCTAGTAGTGCCCGACGCGAAACCGAAGTACAGACTGACCGCTTGAACTTGGATGCTATTCTCCCATGTGGTCAGCCTCGCTTCGCTATGGCGTCTAAACACATTCGCATCATTGAAGAACCCAGAATGTTTTACGAGAGTTTGCTGGTTAGAAAGGCTATTTTAATTGTCGTACTCGTCGTCTTTGATGATGTCAACCCATTCCATTCGTTCAGAGAATGGTGCGAAACGCCAAGAGAAGAATCCTCATTTCTTCGTTGTACATTGGCACCGAGAATCAGGAACTAGTGAGCATGACGATTGGTGTCAAGCATTTCGATGAATTTATTCTGTACCCATATAACTCTCTTGGACACAGTTTCAAGCCCTCGGTGACGCTTTAAGGAATAATCCTAGACTTCAAGTGCAGATGCAATTAGACTTGAATCGTTCAACACGACTTGGTCATGGAACTCCATCACCTTCTACCGCTCATTCTCTTTTGCCCCTTCTTTCCGAATTTCCCGGTCGGGTCAAAATTCACATGTTTCGGTCTCCAAAACTCAAAGGCTTGATGGCGAAATTAGTTCCACCCCGTTTCAATGAAGGGTGGGGTACTTGGCATGCAAAGATTTATGGTGTTGATGATGATGTTATCATGACTGGGTAAGATGAATCTTCTCCAAAAATGTATTTTTATTTTGTTTATTTACATATGAGAAGAATAGAGCAAACGCCAACTTGTCATACTTTCACAATCGACAAGACCGATACATTCAAATAATCGACCAACCACAACTTGTCGTCTACTTCACGTCCTTTATAGACTCTTTCGCTAGATTCTCTTACCAACTTGTCCCAGCATCTTCACCCCAAGTATCACTTTCACCTCACTCACAAACATCTCCCGATGGCTCATACGCGTTGTCTTGGCCTCACCAATCTCACCCGACAGCATTCGAATCTCAGGCCGGTGACACTCTAAGAACTCTTCGAAAACAGTTCGAACCCGCTAGCTCAAACATCACAGATCCGAATGAAGACTTGGATACCGTTTTCTACCCACTAGTCCAGTCGGGTATTATGGGTATACGTGAGGAGGAAGAAGCTCTTGAAGCTTTGTTCAAGCACTTGATCAAAGACCATCGCGGGTCACAAGTTGACCTCACCAGCGGCTATTTTGCATTGTACAAGCCCTATCAGGACCATACATTGAAGGACGGGGTAGATTGGCGTATCTTGCTGCAGGTCCAAAGGTTTGGAACCTGCCCTAATCCCTTCTGTGTAGGATGTCAGGATCATCCTTTTTTTAGGCAAATGGGTTTTACGGCTCGAAAGGATTATCGGGTCGAATACCGGATGGGTATACACTTTTGGAGCAGCGTTTCTGGGCTAGGGTTATTAGAGCTCGGAGAGAGAGCAACGGATATCATGGGGTTGAGCTGAGTGAATGGGAGAAGAATGGGTGGACCTATCATGCCAAGGGTAAAGTCGCATCCTTGTACTGATTCCACGTTAACCCCACAACTCAACTGTGCATTGTTCCACAAATACTCTAGGAATTTGGATCACGCCTCCAGACTTTTATCACCCTACTATAACGTTGTTCGGTTCTACCAATCTCAACTCTCGTTCGGCAAACTTGGACACTGAGCTCTCATTTCTTCTCCACACTCGTTCGTCGACGCTGCAACAACGCTTAGATGAAGAAGTAAGATGGTTGTGGAAAGATAGTCGTACAGTGGGTGCGAAGGAATGGATTGAGGATAGAAGGAGAGTCCCATTTGGAACAAGACTCTTGGTGGACTTTATTGTTGGGTCTATGCTCTAAATGTGACGCTAATACTAAGGGATATGCTATATAGGTATTGTGGGAGAGCTTGCGTAGACTGTGTCAGGAATCCGCGGGGTGGCAAGTGCCAGCTCATTGCTTGATAATATTCAACTTGGGCGGGAGGGATGTGTAGCGGAATAAATAAAGCTGCGTCAAAGACTAGAGGATGGTACACAGATGCCAATCAGAGATGGAAACTTGTTATGGAGGCCCAGGGAGCAAAAGCGGAGGGGGACAGGTCTTGGCGGCAAAACATCGATCATTCGATGGTCACTGGTACATATTCCACAATGGGTGTAATTCGGGGGTGTCGCGGCGTCGGAAGTGCTAGGGCTCTTCTACATAGCACCTAAGAAATGGATGGGATTCTTGGAAGCTTCAGACACGCATCTTCCATGCAGGGCAGCTGCAGAAGCCAGGCACCGATTGGTGCATCTACTTGGCCAAAGTGCCAAGGAGTTAGCCGGTAACTCGAACCTAGTTCCAAATCCGGTAATCAATTCTTTTTTTTAAGTCTCCGAAGTTTTCAGCAGTTGTAGTTAGCGCCGACGTCGGCGTTCATCATCGTTGGCGCAACTAGTCAACCCATCGCTCTCTTTTGTTTTTCTTCTTGACCCCTCTACCTTCTCCCGGACCCAGTCCAGTCATTCTCAGGTATTGTCTTGAGAACACAAGTTGGGGTTTTGACGTTTTCGCCAGCATTATTCAGTAGCGTGACAGTTCATAATCTTTGATCATTATATACTCCCCTGTGCCCGTCCCATTCCCTAATTTTCTCCAGACCTTCCTGTGTCTTAGCGAAAACTCCGGTTGGAGCGGAGTTTTGACCTACCGTAGGGAGCGACCGAGTCCTAATTACGTCGGAAGTGTCGTGTGTTGCCACCCTAATTTGAATCCCACTCACTTCCATCGTGGCGTTGACTGCAGCTAATGCAGATGCGCGCGGTGGCCGTGATCCCACCACCAATCCTGTCGACTTTGACCAACAATATGGCGGGTAATGGCTCGTCCTCAGTTACGGCGCCAACTCCAACCACTATATCTACGACCACTATATTTATTACCACTACAATCCCAACAAGTACTATTCCGCCTGACCCGGGTCTCACGTCCAGAGATAAGGCGGTTATCGCTGGAGCTTCCATTGGCGCTTTCCTGGTGTGCCTGTGCATATTTTGGTTGTTTTGGTGGTTTTGTTCGGAGAAGAATAGACCTCAGAACAACCCCCAGCGTCCAGCTCCCACCGGCATTGTGGGCATCACTGCTGCCGGCGCTACATCATCAACAACAGAGAAACGCTCTCTGGGATCGCGTCTCTTTGCTAGATCTTCAAAGGGAGACAAGAACGCGAATGAAGGCGCGTCCAACCTTAGACCCGGACCCCAACCATTCCAAGGAGACAGTGAAGAACATTATACTGCCTCATTGGACGGCACCACGCCTCCTGCTGGCATTCCAGTGGTTCGGCCTAGCTTCGCAGCACAGAGCGGTGGCTCTAGCTCATCGCCTGGCCTGAAACTCGCAGGGAGGTTTAAACGATCATCGTCTGGTGGACCGGAGCTAAAGCCCGCGCCCTATCAGTATGGCGTCGTTGGAAGCGTGGGGTCAAGGAGAGGGAGTACAGTTATGACGATGGTTGGGCAGCAGCAGCAGCAGCGGCTGGGGATGACTTCGGCACCATCTTCGCCAACGTCTGCGGCATTTATCGTACCAACAGCAGCAGAAATAGCGACAACGTCCATGACCGTTCCCGTTTCGATATCGCCAATTCCCGAACAGAACCTTTCACCTCCATTGAATCCTTTGGAACTTGAATCCGAAATTACCGAGGGGCTAGGTGCGCTGATTGGTGGATTGGAACCGTATGTCTACGACGGTACGTACTGCTAATGTATCAGCTGACCCTTGCAAACTGACGTGAATTGTTTATCTCCTTGGGGGGGGATATCATCCGCTCAGATCCAGGTCCTGGACCCTCACAGAGTGGAAATACTCACACCACTCGAACATCATCTGGCTCCCTGAATGCCTCTTCCTCAGCAGCACATCAATCCTCCACCTACGCCAACGTGCCGCCCCGATTGGGAGACTCCCATCCTCAACTCCTATCGCCAATCCCTTCGATCCATGCGGAGACATCGCGCATGACGAGACCTTCCCATACATTGAATGACTCCTTACCTTACACCCAACAACACCACCCCTCCGCAATACATCGCTCCTTCACCCTTCCTAATCCTGCTGAGAATGGCAGGAGTTCGACCATGCCTAGGGCCAATCGTCGTGCTCGCCGGCGTAGAAGAAGTCGCACAGTGGCCACGGCAAGCGAGCCTGGGCATGACGGCGTCTCGTTTGATGAAGGCGAATATGGAAGTAGAGGGAGTAGCACGAGCGATGAAGGGAACGGGACCTTCAGAGGGACGAGGAGGTCGAGGAGGGGTTTGGACGATGACAGTAATGGAGGTGGAGGCCGGAGGCTTGTCCTTAGGAATGCCTAGATTATCATTCCTTTCGATTGGTTCACGAAAACCGTTTTAAGCACTCCCCAAGTCTGGATCTCCTTATTATTATTGACTCTCATCAGTTGGCCGTAAGGTGTGGTTCTTCCACTCTCGTTCCTTTCGCCTCGAACGGTGCTACTTGAATGTTTCTCGCTCTCTTTTTCATGAAATCCCAGGACTTATGCGGACCCACCCTATCTATTCGTCATACCCATTCCGCTTTCTTCATCTGCATTAATTATACAATCATAGCCTTGCATCCTCGCTATTAGATCAAGTCTTTATACTGATATATTATCTCAAATTATCGTAATTCGCTTTTATCGTCACAAGCACGTTGTATATACGCAAAGCACATTTGTTATTATTATTTCCTCCAGCGGACATCGATTGATTTATTTTTGTTTCTTTACGTACCCTTTTGCTTGCATACCGTATAGCGAGCTTTATGTCACTTCATGTACGACTATATGCAGGTAGAATGTTGACAATGCGAATCTGTGCATGTGGCCCCAACAATTAACCAGGCGCCAGAACACAACGCGGGGTGCTCCAACCCAAACTAGTTGCTTTTTTACCCTATAACTTGCAATCAAAGTAAGAAAGGCACCTGAATCTGCACTATCTCTGCGCATGTAGTCGATGTGTTATACAATTTGGATATCACAGTGATGTTATTTCTCCAAGTGCTTGCTCAGCCGACAAAACAGAACCCTCCACCATCTTCCGTCCAAGAGAACGGAGGTTTTCAGGGAGACCAGAAACACCCGCTCTAGTAATGAGGATCCCAACACTCCAAAGGTCAACCTCTGCACCGTGGCCATCCTCAAATACTTGTGGTGCATGTGTTCCAGAATCCAAATTGGGTGCTGCTTTCGTTGGAGGGATGGCAGCATCTTCCCAGTCGATGAGGAACCACTGCTTAGAATTGGTGAGGCTTCGCATAACATTTGGCCAACGAATATCTCGGTGGAACACCTGTGGTTCAGTGTGTGATACCTACAGAACGACATGAACTCAAAGTAACAATCTTATACAGATATTTACCTGGAGGACCTCGAGGACACAGATGACCGCATTTTTAACATCTTCAGCAGACTTTGGACCGCTGGGGTCACCTCGAGGTGCAAGTTCAACAAAGCAACCATGTTCTGGATGGGACATTTCAATTCTCGTAAGGGTGTCGATATTTGGCACGCCTTTTGCTTTGAGTTTGTTGTAGATAGATTCGAGAAAGGAAACCTTGAGTTTATCTTCGACACGATATATCTTCCGTATCTTGTGCTTGAAAAATTCAATGGATTTTCTATCATCACTAACTTCAAGGTTAGGTTCAATGCAAATGGGATACACAAATGACACTCACAGATGCAATGTAAGCATATCAGCATCCACACCTTTTTTTACGGTACGTTCTAATGCCCGGAGAACCTTGACCAGTTTGATCATCGTTACCGCATTTCCGATACGTCCCCGCCTTGTTGACAGATTTGCGTTTAAAATGTCTTCTACAATAATTTGCTCGTCTCCTTGTGCGTCCGTGCCGGGTCGGATAGCCACAAGCGTGATATCAGCACCAATGGCATAGTAGCCTAAATACGCGGGTCAACAACAGGTAGTGCTGGAGAAGAATTACATACCGAGCACATACCGAGCAGGGCCATAGACCCATCGAGTCTTGTCAGCGAGCTCCTCACGAGGATGTTTTCCGTAAAACGATGGACTTCTCTCCTCCCCCGGAATAAGCAGGCCAACTGCAAGAGGAGACCAAAATCAGGCCGGAAAGACCCAGTTTCCGTGCCGTGGTTGCTGTTGCGTATCCACTCGGGCTTGCCAAGACATGTTGCGAGAATGTTCAGGATGTTGTTGTCCCAGAATGCATGGAAGGAATTTTTAGTACTAGATGAGTCCGGTGGAGGTGGAGTCCAGAGAATTGCGCCCTGTAGTACGGGCCAGATGAAGCTAGCCATCTCGTCCTCACTATTGATGAAGAGAGTCTCAAGGTCTTTTGAAGAGCAAAGAGGCTCAGGAATGCTTGGATTCGTGTGCAGGAGGCTCCGCCACTGCAGATCGGAAATCGGGATTTTTTCTTCGGGCTCAAGAGTGCTTCCAGATAGATACTCAAATCGGTAACGTTCGGAGTGATTGAGAGTGGAACGTTCCATTTATCATACAGCTCCATTGAAATATCGACTGCAGACGAGTGGGGAACTTAGCCGTAAAATACCAAGTTGCAAAGACCTACCCGGGTCCTCACGCTTCCTCTTTCTATCGCGAGGCACTTGGACGATGAGATGGAGATGGCCTTCCTCGGGATCTTCCAGCCAGTATCTGGATATTCTATTTGCAGGGTTGAGAATCTGCACGAGCCGTTTCCTTCCAGCGCCTCGTCGCATTCAGGATCGGGAAACTCGATCGCCTTCAGCTGTCGATGGAAAGTTGTTTTCTGGGCTCCTGCAACCTCCATCGGCATTGGGGACGAGAGCTTCCACAAAATCAGCTGGTTTGCATCCAGATGATCCAGTTGGTGGGCCATCTCAAACTTGATAGTGCACTGAAGGCGGATAACAAGTGCGTCAGGCGACACGTCCACACCAAACACAGTACCGAGGGCGTTTCCTTCAGGTCAACTGCCAAGCAGATAAGAGTGATGGAAGTGGCCATGTGCGTGTTTGGTATTGATCCTAGGGTTGGGTGCCTGCCAGAAGGAGAATCTCCCGGAAAACCTTGTAAGTGTTCAGCTTATGTAAGCCGCCCTTACTTATTGTGCGTCAAGTACATACTTAGGCAGGAGACCAGCCTCTATAGAGTACATACACTTGTGTTCGAATGTCACCACGCGAAGGATATTACTACCAAGTCAGCGCTCCATGTATATATGTGTTCGTGCAAGCTTCCCCTGGTTCGCCACATTCCAAGCTTTGTACATCCTTGGATGTACATTACGCCTTCCTTACACAGCCAAATACCAAAAGTCTCCAAGAGAGGGTTGACCAGCCTGAGCAAACAATGAGAGACAGACTAAACGCAATGTCAGTTGGTGTGTAGAAATTCGCACGTCATCCAATTGTTGTCAGTCATTTACCTCGAACCACCGTAACCGCTAAGCGCCGAGATCGAATTGAAAGCTGTCTCGACTTATGTCCCAGAACCAACAGACAGCATCTCCAAGCGCTTCTGCCGCCCCGACGCCCCCTCCCGCTAGCCCGCCCGCCCCAGTCGCTCCAGAAACCGATCATCCCCCTGCACCTGCAGGACCATCCTTACAAGCCGGAACTGTTAACCCCTTCCGCCTCGTGTTTCCCGATCTCGTCCTTCATTCTCGCCAGTCGCGTTGGGATGATCTAATACGCACCGCAGAACGCGCGGATCTAAAAAAGGTACAAAAGACAGGTTTGAGATATACTCATGCATGACTTTGTTCTCAAATCTGCGTCTCGACTACTTACCTAGGCAGGAAGGGAGTCCGATGTTACGAGGTTCCTGGTGGTGATCCCTCTTTCCCTTTCCTATTTGATTCTCGATCAAGCGTACGTACCCGCCCTACTCCTTGAAACCCTCAACAAAAACAAAAACTCAACTCGCTAGACCATCTGCTCATTGGGTGCTAATGCGGCTCCCCGACGAACTTATCAACACCCCACTCCCGCAATTGCTATTCAAACTCACCGCATCTATAGCTGATCGAAAATACACCAATATATACTCCAGAGCAAATGACGTGCTTAGTTTAGTCTCAGAAACTACCCTCGATCCAGAGTTGAAGGAAGTCGTCACCGAGTTGTTGCAGAAATTCTTAGGTGATTTCTTCATCAATCCTGTTTCGCAAAACTCTCCATTTATCCCCCTTTCCAGAGGTGTTCCGCAGGCGTACCTTTGATTTGTTACGACAGGCATTCACAGAGATTTCCGTGTCAGAAGTGCAACAATACTTGGGTGTCAGTCCTGATGTCATCCTTCAGGGCAAGTCAACTCTCGTGCTTGTATATGTTTCCTCGGAACTCAAAAATCCTGACTTATAGTCGCAAAAGCATCAGGTCAATGGACCTACAACTCGACGAGTCAACTGCTCAGGCCTATTTGCGAAACGTCTCACCCTCTCGCGAGTACAAGTGATGGTATGTAGAATTGTTCACTTCGCTCAAACCGCGTGTCCGACGAACTTTCCTAAATTTGCAGCATCTACTCTCCGCACCTTCAAATCGGTATGGAGTGGAGCGATTGGACTAGAGGGTACTTATTAGCTCAATGGTTAGTGGATCCTCATCGATGTGTTCCGTTCTCTGTGGGCACTTCGTACACAGATTAATTGAGACGTAGGATTGTACAATGATTAGATGGAGCAGACGATGCAAGGGAAAGGAAGAAGTGGGTATACGTTGAAACATAATGCTACAAGCAGAGTGTGAAAGTGGAACATCCAAATATCCGAAAACCCACAGGTGATAGTTATTCTTGAGGGAGTATAGAGCGAACTGTGTGTTTCCATTTCTAATAATGCATGAAATCGTTTGCAGAAGGACACATGATTAGGCACCAACCTTGTGATCCACCTCCTTTAAATCGGGAACGGTCTGAGCGATGTGCACGAGATATTTCGAGAGTTTAAACAATTCTCTATCGCTTGCTCCTCGTGTTGTGTGGCAATCGTTGAATGCGGATATTTTCAAGCCGCTCGCGGGATTGAGCGCGAAATTCCGCGAGAGGTCATCTATATGAATAGTGTTCGAAGCAGACCTAAATAATAATAATAATCGAGGCCATTCATATCCAAAGAGTAAAAAAAAAGCAAGTGAGAGGGTTGGAAACTTACCATTGAGGGAATTTGGTCCAAATGATCTTCAATGCTTTCACGGAATGCGTGAATGGTTTGCCTTCACGTCTAGTAAAAACTTTGAACATTGGTCTTTTATCCATGACGAATGCTATCTGTCAATGCGTTCAGCCAGAAGGTGGGACCGCCTCAAGGAGGGTCGGGAAAACCTTGTAATCCTTATCTGACCCGACCATTTCTAGCTCGACCAGCTGAAAGGCATGTTGGTAGGATCGATGATATGCAACCCGTTCTACTTGCATACCTTCGTTTCTAGCCACACCTAAAGAACGAGGGTCTCGGGGAGGGTAACAATGACACGCAGCTGGAGGGCTCACCCAACTAGTTTGCGACCATATCACAAGATCATAGTAAGGGTAGACCGCCTCTAAGAATTCATGCAGTCCAGGACGGGCGCATTCCTTGGGTGGCAAAGCGCCACTCGTTAATGGTTTGGTATCTATCAGGGCTATATCGAAAACGATTGGCGAAAGTTAATCTTCCGAGCAACTGGGCATACTATAATCGAGATCGAGAACCAAAAGGCGTTTCCCCTCACGAGGTTCGTTCATGATGTGAACATCTAAGTCCTTGGCCGCTTCTTTTATCTTCCGAATATTCCGCTGATCATTCGCGAACGCTTGCATGAGCTCCGGATATTCCGACACATCAATATCCAAATCGTTCATGACGTCCGGCATATCCTCCGGACGTTCTTTCAGTTCCTGCCCAATAGGCGTCCCGACCAACGTGAACTTCCGGCCACTAACAAGTTTGAGCTCGCGGCTTGAATGGCGACATTGAGCTTCGAATTTGAACGTCAACAGGGCCGACGCTTACATAGTATGCTCATCTGGTGGTAGCTTCCCTTTCACTAACCCAATAATCTTCTGGCGTTCTGAAGGCACGTTAGTTATGGAATAAAGCTTATCCTTCAAGTCCAAGACCCTGATTGCGGCATACAATGAGCTACACAAACATCCAGCCAATGACATCCTCTTACCGATCGGACTCAGCAACTTCCACCGTTTCTAATTGGCCACTCCAAGCCATGATAAGCGATATCCATACTTCCCGCGCCATGTCGGCGTCTTGTTTATTCGACCCTAGTGACTCGGCTTGAGTCACAGCCCTGACGCTTGATACGCTTTGGTCGGTTTCATCTAGCTTGACGCGTTTAGCTGCAGGAGGTTCTTCCATAGTTTTCAGCTAACACCGAAGTAAATCGTACAGAGTCAGATCGAAATAAGAGTGGCGGTTTGGGGATCACGCGGTTTTCGCCGTTCCCACGTTCTGAATTGGGGCGACGAGCGCTTATACATCTGTTCGTCCTGACGATTGTCCTCAATATATCAAAAACAAAATACGGATTCAATCCATTATCGGTTCCAAGCGAGAACATTCATCGGAGGAAAGACTCCATCGAGTTGGGCAATGGCATCGGGTATCAACGAACCGACAAAAATAAAAAAAAAACCATCAAGCCTCCAGAGACGCCCTCCAAGGTAATGGGGGTGATGATTCATGGTTCCAGAAAAGATGTTTAAAGAACGCATTGACCTAGGAGGCAAAAAATCAGAATTTGGCGACCAGACTCCAAACCAGTTGAACGAAACATACTGTACCACGGGTTCCAGTCCCTGCAAGTACCAACTGCACAAAATGTCGAGCCTTGAACGTATAATATGAGTCAAGCTTTCTTAGTAATCAAGATTCTCAAAACCTACCCGTGTATGCTTGCCCACCTGTGAGAATAATGAGTTGTCAGTGGGAGAGACATTTGTGTGTGAGTGAAAAATGGCATCATCTTACCGCATTGTCCATACAGAGGTACAGACCCGGATTCGCTGCATGATTCGGAAGGAGCAACAGGGGATGACGTTCTGGTTGAAGTCGTGGAGGTGGAACTTGTGGTAGAAGTAGTAACTGACGTATCCTTCGCTAAAGGGGTGGAGGATGTCGTCGTCGTCATACGGGTCCTGCTAGTGCTCTTCCCCGGATTCCCGTAAGTGGTTTTTCCAGAACCGCCACACGAAAGAACAGAACCGCCCGGCGCTACATACGATCTGCCCCCATTGGTAGGCTGCCCATTGTTATCGTATATATTGATGTGGATGCCTGGATCGTCCGCCGTGTATGCGCCAGGAAAATTGAGGATATTGAATCCGCTATTTGTTCCACTCCCCCCGCTAACCTTGATATTGGCGCACGACAACTGCGCGATAACAAGAGGGGTGGCGTCAATATTAGTAATTATCCATCATAATGACTACTCACGTAGACTTGAGCGCCTCCGAGGCTGGAAGCACTATGAAGAGCGATGGCTTCAACCCGCATGAGGTAATCGCCGGATTCAATGCACGATGGAATAGTAAAATTTGCCCATCCTTTGTTAGCTATCATCCTGTCTATGCCCCACTTTCCACTACTATCTACACCATCGGAGAAAATCTTGAACCACCGCAGCCCCGTAGTCTCAGCGTTGGATGCATCTGGTACCTTGGCGAGATAAACTTGGATGGGTCCTTGAAGTTTATACGCCAGGATGTTTGCCAAGCGCTCAATGACATGAAGCAGAGTTGGCCCACTGACCTTTGTGGCTGAGAGCAATCGGATCATCAGCGTCTCCTGGATACTGTGGTCCCCCTAGAATATGATGAGAAAGGACGCCAACCTGGGCACCGGCTGGAACGTCGATGACGGCCGTAGAGACGGGAGTGTAAAGACCAGTGTTGCACGTAATGGAATTGTCTTGGACGTCGGTAACAGGCTGTTAATTGGTGTTGATCACGAATCCCTTTTGAAAAAAATAGCTTGCGACCCACAGTATTCGAGGCAGGGGCGCGAACCCCATTTAGGTACCCTTGGTCCTTCCCATTCACAGACACCCTCTGAGCAGAGGGCTATCAGTGGAGTCCAAAACGGCCACACGGAGAGAAATGGATACTTGAAAGATAGTATGAGCGCAAGCACAGCTCGCGAGGGTCAGACACCAAAGAAAATGAGAGAGCATTTTTGAAATGTTGGCGATGCACAATAAGAACATCGAATGCACTCTATATGTACCCAAACATCGTAGATATTTTGGGACGCAAATTATGTGCCAAAGGCCATCACAACGGCGAGAAAATGCCTGCTGCCACCATCGCAATCCTCTTTGATCCAGCCATCGATACACAATGTGTCGCTGGTGATATTAATGCAGAAAGATAAGCGACGATATGCCTGCCAACCTCACGTGGGTGGGCAATCAGTAGTCCCTAACTGTATGCCCCGGGGCCAGGAAACAAAGTTGTAGACCAATCTTGATATCAATGCCGCCTGACGTCACGCAAACGTGGTCGAAGACGGCAGGTACCTGCAATTTTACAGAATGACCCTCAGTGGGCCTCAAAAAACCTCAGCATACTGAGAATGAGACCCAGTTAGATACTAAACTGTAACTAAGAGAGCTGCATAACCTGTTGCAAAAGAACAAATTGGCAGCTAATCGTGGAGAATGTATGTCCCGATCTCATGACGAATCCCTGAGGTGGGACCGGTCCCTGGAGTGCCGACGACTCCCACAAATAATAAGGTAGTGGCTGTCTTCAATATTCCGCCCCTAAGACACGAAAGTACTCGTTGTTGTGCCGTGCATTAAGACATGGCCTCCATGGCCGATCGTTGGCAGTTAACCCAAACCTGCGGAACGTACGGCTCGAAACTTCTATTGGGCAAGTCCACGTTGCCAGAGTGCATGCAAGCGAGTGGCCCCGATAAAGCACCGCGGACTACGACTGATGAACACTTTGCATAGAAACCAGGCAAAAAGAATCAAATGTAACTGACTGTTGAGTCACTGGAGATATCCGGGTCGCATGTTGGGATTTAATCCGGGCCGCTTGAAATTCAGAGGCTTCAACAGTTGTCGGGGCCGTTGCCACGCTGCTTACTTGGTGTCCATCCGGTCGCACACAAGTGGAGGATTTTATTAAGCACGCCGCCTTACGAAGATTTGTATATAAATACGCACGGTTGACCCAAAGTCGCCAGTCACATTCATCAGCCCCCTTACACTAGAATGTTCACGTTGCGTCGCTCCAATCTGCACTGCCCACCTATCTTCAATACGGCATACGATGTAGTATTCAACAAGGCAATTGATCTTTAGTACAAGAAAATGCATGACACAATTTACAAGAAGATTTGACGGAGCAGCATTTCCTAAGATTGCGGATTAACTCAACGAAACTATGACGAAGAAGGATGCATAGAAATCACTACCGTCATAGATAAAGTGAGTGCAACCATCATTGGATAAAGAAATATCCATGAAAAGGAATCGAAGGCAACAGATGGACACGTAACCACGAGTTCGGAAACCGAACTCAATGTCTTGACTACATGTGTAGAGGTTCGCATCTGGACTGGATGAGTCTGTACGACTTTATTGCTGATACTTACGAGGAACGAGGCAGAACATTAGACCAAGACGTCCCTGACACAGAACAAGTGGCCAGGTCGCCCTTGAAACGCACGGAGTTCATACCAAGAAGGACATCCATTTCATGGAACACGCTGCAGGGCCGTTGGGTCGGAAAGACGGATACGACCATCTGGTGTGTGTTATGTTAGCATTGTGGAAGTCGTGGCGCCAAGTACATGGTTCGAAGGGAGTAGAAAAAGAGTTCCGAAGATATTCCCGGAAATCGAACGCATAGCATCAAATGTTCCAATATCGTTACGAGTGTAAGGACTCAGCAGAGTGGAATGGAAGAAGAGGAGATAGTGAAGGAGGAGGAAGCAGAGAGGAGATGGAGAGAGGCGAAGGGCAAGAGGGAAGCGACGGGGAATTTATTGTAGAGCAAGAAAGCACGGACAAGATGTTGCATGCGAGACGAGCGATCGAAATAGCGAAAGCGGCGCAAGTCCTGCCGGATGCAACTTTGGGGTGTGATACTGGCGCAGGGGATGTGAAGGCGGCCACGGAGGTAAGACTTGAATCGATTCATCCAATGGTCACAGACAATAGCGAAACTGCATGAACGGGAAACAACTCGCGGTGGGCAGCAAAGTGGTCATCACTACGGACATCAACACAGACGTGGACATGGCGAACGGAGCACGGGGAGATGTGATACGTACATGGCCAGATCCATGCGAAGAAGGAGGCAATGAGGGAGCATCGGTACAGGGAATGAAATATTCACCTAGCTGCGTGCTGGGGCGATTTCGACAGGGACAAGGGATACATCGACGATCCCTTCGTTTCTGGTCGTGAAAACGACCGAATACAAAGCAGAAAGCGGTGCAAAGCAGAAAGTCGAGCGTCGGCAAGTTACATTGGATGGAGCCTGCTACGCCTTCACGGACTATCGAGCTCAAGGACAGACGATCGAATACTCATGGGCGGAGATAGGGACACCGCTCAACGCGTACATCACGTTGTCGAGGACATGAGGACGACACAGCGAACATTAATTGCGGGACGCACTAGTACTATTCACAACTGCATCGTGTGAAGTGTTGGAAAGAGAGCAGGTATTAGTAACGCAAAGGAGAAATAGTATGATGACACGTGGGGAAAAACAACACGTAAGAATAAGTGGCAGGTTTTACGTAATTTCCAGGCAGCAGCAGTGAAGTAGTGATACAGTAGTCACTGCAGTGAAGGTAATCTGAGCTCCGAGTAGTGAACAGCTGAGAAGCGGGTTGCCTTACTTGGGACGTGGCGCTAAGGCGAAACGATGACTAGCTGAAGTACACGTGCTTGCCCTTGCACGATAACGAGATCGCGATTATGTAAAGAGGTGTTGTTACCAAACTTGGGAGTTGGCTGTGCTCCTGTGCTCCTCAGCCAATCTATTCGCAATGGATGACTATGAATCCGTTCTGTTTGTCGCTCGTGATGTATCTGGTGCGTCGGCCCCGCAGGAATCCAAAGATACCAAGGGGGAGGAATCTGATTATTTTTCTACCAAGTGTACAAGGTACCACCGCGCACATCGCTGGCGGGTTATCGCGCCCAGGATTGGGGAGATCTATCTCAGCATCTTTGGAAAGGCCGTATCAGAATCATAGAAACCTCAAAGAGTTGCTCGATTAGGCTAGAAGACTCTCAAACCGGTGAGTTGTCGCTCTTGGATCTGGGAAGCGGCGCCTGAACATTTAACGGCCAACAATCTCTAGGCGAGGGTGAGAGGCAACTTTCCCCCCCATTCGAAGCATGAGAATATTTATCTAGTATTTGTATAGTTTTCGCACAAGCACCGTATGATCATACGGGAACCTCTGTGGATCCCGTACTCGACTCATCTCGTTATTTCGTATTGCGCGTAGAAGACGAAGGGAAAAAAGCTTTCGTTGGCATTGGTTTTCCAGAAAGACCGGAGGCTTTCGATTTTAGTGGGTGCCAGTAATCATCGTGTCCAATTTCTCATCAATAACTCATTCGATAGATGTCGCTCTCCAGGATTATACCAAGTAAGACACACTTTCTGCTGGGAAGCACATCAACTGATCACCAATTCTGATTGCTTCAGGCGTCAGAAAGCACTATTGAATCCAGTCGCACCTGAAGAAGAGTCTCCGTCTCCTCATATTCCCGCTGGTCCCAAGAAGGATTACTCCTTAAAAGAGGGTCAGACGTTTTCTATTAGTATCCCAGGAAAAGCGTCTTCACCTTCATCTACTTCATCTTCTCTACTTGGTGGAACTGGGGGTTCAAGTCTTTCGGGAGGAACTGGAGGAAGCAAAGGATTAGTCCCACTGTTACCACCCCCTCCCGGCTCCAAAAAGAAGTGACGATCTTGGGTTCTCCCATGATGTAATGTAACGTACCCACTGACAAAGACCTCATTACCGCGAGGCCTTTTCGATTCTTTGGGGGGTTTACGAGATCGTTAGATACCATTTGGATTTTTTTTTATTGACCAATTGCATTCTCGAACTTTGCCGTAGCTCTTGCTGGGGCTTTGATTACACGAACCCACTGCACCGCATTTGCCGTCATCAAGATCATGCCTGGAAAGTAACCAACCTCCACATCATGAACGGTTTCCGCCAAAACGCACCTCGAGACCATCGAGGCGCAGGGGTTGTTGGCAGCTTTGATTTCAATTGAAAATCTCAAGTTTCCCTAAATGGAGTCTCTGGTGCGGGCGCTTGACCAATGACCGTTTCTGATATCACGCTCCATCCAAAAAATTTTTCAACGCCGGCTCAGCTGCTCACGCGGGAATTGCGCTGTTCCAGACCTTTGCGACTACTCAATCTTGTTTTAATTCCTGTGTCATAATAAGACAATAGAGAAAATCAGTGGGAGTGGGGGCAAAGTGGGGGCCACAATGGATCAACGAATCAGTTTGACTTGGATATATTCTACTGAGAGAGTATATCAACGACTGTACCTGAGGTGGGTGCACCCTTGAATGAAATACCTGACGCGTGAGAGGAGCACCTCGGTTTTGACTGAAATTGCAAAGCATTTGAACTCAAGCAAGATCCGATGTCGAGCATGACCGATCAGAGAACCTGCATGAGGTGACCAGCAAACAGAATAAGTGAGCTTCCACGGGGATCATAAGTATAAATGCCTTTCAGGATATCAGCGTGAAGTATGGTCAGAGTATGATTCATCAGTGACCACTCATTCCACTACATAGCCACAAGCTTGTACAGTAAGACTCAAATATTGTGCTCCGGATATTTTGCGTACATCAACAGTCGTGTGAATGGGGTCCAAGCAAAAGCACACGCAGCCATGCAGGTTTCACGCGGGAAAACAACCAGGCCATGGTCTCAGCAAGCGGCGAATCAATCCCCATCTGCGCGCTCCAGCGCGGCGAGCCTCACGAGGCGAAGTCGGGCAGGGACAGATCAGATAGTAGTCAATACCCGTAACTAAGACAGACTATACGACGTCATACAAAGCGGCTGGTGGGACCAAGTGAAAGCAGCCGAAAAAAAAACGAAAATGGAGAAGTAACACTCATCTCAGCCACTACTTCTGCTGAACTTAAGCGCCCTCGCTGGGAGGATATTTTCTCACCAACTCAAGCAGGTGCAAGCCATCCTTTGCGTAGTCGGGAGCAAAAGCCTGATTAATACCATATCGTGGACGAGTCACACCCTACAATTTATTAGTGAGGGATATGAAATTGTGTCCATGTAGTAACAAATCAAGACCCTCACATTATAGGTTTCTTGTTTCACCCTGCACGATAGATTCCACACTTTACCTTTGGCTTCGGTCAGTTTAGCTTTTGCGGCATCTGAATCTTGGTGCTGGGCAATCATTAGCATATCGGGAATGCTTCAACAAAGTAACATAATGTGGCGCACTTACCATCAGATTGTGGTAATCCTTCGCCGATATCCCCAAAAGCTGCTCGGCAACTTCGTTGAATCCCTGAAGGAACACTTGACCCGTGTGGTCGGCAACCGAAACACTGAGCAAGTAACTAAGACATGTACGTGTCCAGGATGTATCAGCCCTAGGCGAGTGCACGACGTGGGAATGTGACGGATCACCTACCGATACTCGCAATTCTCATAGGATTTTGCACACTTCTCACACCTCCATGTCCCATCATCCTGTTCCAACACCTTCTTTTGGCACTTTGGCCCAGGACAACTCGTATAGTAGAGGTTCTCTTCCCGAAAGAGGACGATGGTAGCGTGAAGGGAGAAGTAATCCGGCGTGTCACGCAATCCAGGGAACTTCTCCTGCGCGATGGCAATGGGGTAAAGTTCCTTATGGTTGAAGCCGCCAGAGGACATCCCAGAAGGACCAGATCCACCGCCAGGTGTCTGTGGTTGGAAGGTCTCTGCCTTCCCACCTGAATCATACCACCCGCGCAACAGATGCGCCTGAGGACTATCTGGGTCAATTTGCATGGAGCTGCCGCTGAACATACCCAGGCTTCTTCCTGTACAACGTAAGGGCTTTGGATCATCCTGCAGTAATCATACGAACTCACCGCCAAAATCGCCCACCCTGACACCCTTGAAAGCAATGACAGGGTTACTGTGGTTGTCGAAAGATTCGGCCTGCTTGCCCCACAATGTCATACGGATGCTATATCCCGAGTTATCAACGAGCGTCAATTCCCGTTTAGCGACCTGTAGTACCACAAGAGTGAACATCACATCTCCAATAATCCTAGAGTAGCATACTGATTTGTTCGTCTTGTTAGAGTAAATCTCGCCTAAAGGGAAAACTTCGTGAACCACTCCCAATACGTCTGATTGCAAAAACTAAGCAAGAACCTGAGAAAAACTAAGATCGAAAGTGCGCACCCACAAGAGCATCCTTCTGCTGTGATTCCATCTGCGATAGCTCAACAAAGGAATACTTGACTTCCGGGAGGTCTGCGGTATCCATACACTACAGCGTTGTGATAGGATAAGAATAATATTCCTAATCGAGATTCGTGACGAACTCGCCTCCTTGATCTCCGAGGTTCTTTCGAGTGTAATCTCGTACTCATTTGTGGAAGAGCCGTATTTCTTTTTAGCAATATTCACCCTTGCCCGCGAGACATAGTACACCTTTCCTTCCTGAAGTTTCTCATAATGTTCGTCGACTGCGGCATTGAACCCTGTCGCTCTAATCTCGCCCGTTTCATCCATAAACGTGCAACTAAAGAGTTTCCCATCACCCCGATTGTTTGACCACAACCTAATTTCAGACTTTGAAGTCACACGGGCCTTGATGGTCCATTTGTTCTGGTAAGGACTTAGTCCTTCAATCGGAAAGGTGGCGGGGGGTTTCTCGGCGGGAGGATTGCGAGAAGCATAGGTTTCAACTGGAGCAGTGGTGCTGGAGCTGGGAGCGGGCGATCGGGAGCCAGCAGTGGCAGCACTGGCGGCGGCAAGGATGTTCGCGTCTGGTTTCGGATCCAGTGCAGTTGGGGATCCAATGCGTTCACCAAAGCGGTGGACGTCAGTTTCGTTGATTTTCAAAACTATCAACAGCCTGAGGAACAGAGTTTGGATCGTAACGAGAAGATCGACAATGGAACAATGATCGGATGGCTTACCGCTTGTTTTGCACGACGTTGTTCACGTACTGTACGAGCGTGAAAACAAAGTTTTTCTCTAGAATCTTTTGCTCAAGAAGATAGTTCAGTTTGGTGTTTAGCATCGCCTGGCAGAGATGCTCTCCGTCCGAGACCATGAGGCTTTTCATGAATGCGTCAGTTGCAAGTTTAACCCTGAGCGCCGGATGGCACTACATACCGATACCGGTCAGGCGCACTCGGGTCTGCATTCTGCGCACCCAGTGGCTTAAAACCAAGGAGCTGAAGGCGAGGCTGGAAGTTTGGCGAGGAGTCGCCGTCAGAACGCATCAACTCTACAACTGCTCCAGACGTCAGTTCAGGCGGGTTGGTCATGCTGGTACCGCGCCGTAATGAGTCTCAAGTGTCTTCTTATGCGTATAAGACCGTAAGTGGGATACAAGGGACGCGATCACGCGGCGAAGGCTTCGGCGCGTGGTTGAGGATGAGATGAAAGGCGCGTCACGGAGATACGGCTTAAATCCGTACTAGACCATCTTCTTAGGCCGAACTTGCACGAAACATTCAAACCCATGACCTAGTTCTCAATAGCAGTATTTTTGCGATTGTTGTGGATTTGTGGATATGAACAGCGACAACGTTGAACGAAGATCAATATTGCAATGTTATGTAACGTACTCTAACATTCGACTCAAACAAATATCATGTATCTTGGGAAGCACGCAGTTTCAAGAAGAGGCGAAGAACGGTGTAATCCCGAAAACCTATAGGACAAATGTGAGCAATATTCTGGATGCCACTCCAAAAATTTCTTATGCAGTGACACTTGGTAAGAATGAGCCTCAGACTCGCCTTTAACTCCCCAGTTGCAACCACACCGTGACCAAGCACCAGATCAGCGCTTCAACAGAAGCACGACTTGGGAAGTCTCGCTCCACCACCAGAAGCACTCCTGCAGAGTGTGTGGGTTGCAATGAGCGGATTACCAATATCATCATCATCGGCCCATCACTACCAAAGCCACTCATAAGCATAGGCTACTCACAATCAAAGAGCAAGGAGTTATACAAGTGAACAGATTGATTTGCGACTGAGCTCAGTACAGTACAGAAAGCAGTTGGAGAACATAAAAAATTGTAGGAGACGTCAGGTAATCCTGCTTCATGATCCCTCGACCAAAGGGAGGAATTCGGCAAAGATCGTTTTACTTGAATCCTGAGCACTTTCTCGTACGAGAAAGAATAATTTTCTTGGACGATACCTCTATGCGCGGGCCAGTAAAGATAGAACCCATGCTTCATGGAACGTCAACTGAAGTGATTCAATGAAAATTTCGCGGTGTGTTATATATTCGCTGCTCGGTTGTTTCCGGTGTCCCACGCTGCAGAGCCACAGTCAACGAGGCGGATGTCAGTGTCGCCTTCCCAGTTTGCAAGACTTCTGCGCCAGTCCAAGTTTGCTTCGTACGATCCATCAATATACCAAGTTTACACAAGTTATGGTGGTCATGTCCATCGTGGGGACTTCGGCCTAAAGCGTCCATTGCCGCGCTTGGCTCGCCAACGAAATCCAAACATTCTCATCTCAAACATTGACACTCCCGAGTACCAAACGGAGTGGAGAGATGCAGAGGATGAGGTGCGGAGGGTTGAACGCACCGAAGAGCTTGGAGGGCCCATGTTCACGTCCCCCAGTCGGTGGACTGAGAAAACGTACTTTTATCCGGACCAATGGGCCGTAGACTCAGACTACGATCCTAGCCCCCCCACCAAGCGTACCATCGTGTACCACGGTATGAAACCCCTGCTGCGTATGACCAAAAAGGAGTATCAGCGTTTCCTTGATAACGTGCGCAGCTACCGAGACGAGTACCGCGACAGCCAGCAAAAACGTCAAAACCAGATACAAAGGCGACGGTGGGAAGAAAAGAAAGGCCTTATGCATGATGTCCACTCGCAGTACACTCCCGAGTTGCTCGAAGCACCAGTGATGGAAAAGTCTCCACAGCCCATCCCAGTTGATCTCTACAGGGAAGCAAATATGGACGCACACCACGGGTCTTTCAAATCGTTCCTCGGCAATAAAGCTTATGAAGAACATAGCACGTATGGGGCCACCACTGCTATTGTCCCCAACCCACACCCCTTGGCCGGCCTCAACTACCATAATCCATCGCGTATTCAATCACTTCTTACTTACCCCGCTCACCCAGGGCATGCATTCTATGCCTCCCCTAAGCAATCCCCATACCTTGTTGATCCAGCGGATGACGGAGATCGAAATCGGTCTGGCATAGCGGGCGCAAACAAGAATGCCATTTCTAACAAGTCAGCTCATGCTCATGCTCCCCGTTTCATCGCTACCGTTGGAGGGTTCGCTTTCAATTTGCCCGTCTCCAATATCCTTACCAGTACCGGGAACATAGTGGAGCATGGCAGCCGCGTCAAGCCCACCGAGCTTTTCCTCAAACCGGCGTACTCACCCGAGCAACGCGAAGCTGCTATCAAGGCTGGCCGCGGCTCATTCAAATTTGTGGACATACATCTCACCGGCGTACCCTCGGTTGTGCGTGATCCAGGCGAGGCTTCGAACTCCATTCCGGAGAAGCTTTCAGTCCCGTTAAAGGGTATGGCACAATCATGGAAAGGAGCTTGGAGTACACTAGAAGATCCATACATCCCGGGCACGTACCGCTATGTCGGCTCGTCGCCAAACATCATACCGCAGGCTCAGAAGCCTAGGAAGGCGAAGGACAGGGTGAGGCAGCAGTCACTGCGTAAGCAGAAATCTCAGCTGCAAAAGGGAGGAGTTCTGCACAGTTTGACGTCGATGATCAGTAGTAAAAAGCGAACGAAGTAAGGTGGTTTCCATTCTAGTGCCTATTGTTTTGCACAAACGTGATTGCTAGTCACCTTACGTCGCGTAGTGCGTGCGAGAAATGTGTCAAGGAAATGCCGTGATTAGGTGGATTGAAGAATGAATGATGTCGTCACACAGAATGAGAATTATCACCATCTAAGAACTGCCACACGCGAGGGACTCTTAAACCCTTAAATAATGACCGTCTACTTAAGACGACGGAAAAGAAGAACATGGGGCTCTGGGGCTGCACAATAAGGGTAGGTCAATTTTGGCGTTCCTCTATAGCATTGTGCAAACAGCGCACCATGAACCTCATAATGTTCCCAACCTAAGCTCTGAGTAATGCCAATGCCTCTCCATTCCTCGTCAGAGAGAATTCTCAAGCAACCAGAGTCATTGTTCTGGAATAGATGTTTAGGCAACATCTTCAAGAAGGGTTTAGGAAGGATGACATGTCTAAACAAAGGCGTGAGCGAGGCGAGTCAGACTTGACATGGCTAGGCTGAACCATTGAAAGGTCAATTCGGCTTATGCTTGCCTGTACTCGTAAACATCGTCGGAGTAGCGTGGCGAATAATGGATCCTGGATGTCATCGAATTCAGGGAACAGCAATTCGAGCCGGCGCAAACTCTTACGATTCTACGTATTCCTTCCACTTTGCGCTCTGGCTTGGATTCGCCGCCATTGTGCCTCGAAACTGAAAGAAGATGTAGTTGAGTCAAAGCCGAGTGGCACGAACAGGCGTACGGAGTTACAAACGGGGTTAACGGTGAATTCCGTTGCCAAATGAGAACCGAGATCTGTGTTCTTGCCAGGGCGCTTATGGTTCACTGGACACGCCACAAGTGTGCTAAAAACGCGATCATGCACGCCAGTCCCCGTTGAATGAAATATCTGACAAAGTGGGATACGGAAGGGCGAGCTGGTCCGTTATCATCGCACAGAGGCATTGCACGCTCAAAGAGCCTGTCCACTTCTCGCCACAAGCGAAAAGCCACTAAACATGCTTCACACCAACACAAATATCTTATAGCGCACAGGGTCGAACCCATCAACTTTTGCCGCAGACTCACGTTCAACTCTACCTATACAGTATCTTCGGAATTTCCCAGTACATACCCAGTGGGATTTTCACTGGAAATCATCCCTGTGATGGGCAATTTTCATGTCCCAAAACAGAGATCTACTTTCTTCTGCTCCTTGTTCGTCTTTGGAACATACCTCATGATCAGCATAGCTGTTTTGTGGTGCATACGTTCCCCAATTGCTAGTAGTCCTTTCGGGGATTTCCACTCGCTCCGCAGCCGAAATCCATGTGTGTAATCTGATTACTCTATGCAGAGTACTTTCATCCACCTGGAAAAGCCTCAGTTCTTCAGTGGCAGCCAGCCAAGAATAGCGCCATTTTCGTGCGCCTCCTTTGCGTGCTAGCTTTTCTTCCCCAGATGAACATAGGCGGAGATACCCGGGTCAGGTCTTTGGAGCACTTTGTCGCTTGACATGTAATTCTTCATTGAACGATTATCATCTGTAATTGATAAAGCGAGGCGGAGGGACAACCGCCCGCAACCTAGCCTTGTTTGGACACTGGTCATCTGGCCTGTGATGTACCACGCGATCTATTGCTTCTACCTCGCTAGAGAATGCGAATCAAGAAAAGTTGAGCTCCATTTCACTTTGACGGCAGTTTATTGTAAGGTTCGTGCGCGATAACCTTATTCCTATCTGCTACTCTGGATCAAAGCATTTTTTCGCCATCCGCCAACCATGGACTACCTTTGGAAATTAAGAGACTGCGCTCATCCTTGTGCGCCTAGCTCATGTGGCTCCAGATCATGTCTGAACGGTGTCAAAGTTTCCCAAGATAGGAGTTTGAGTTGCGGTCATCTATCCCCATGGGGTGCCATCATACTGCGTCGCTCGTGTACTATAGGTTCTTTCAGCCGCTCCTTGCACTATCACACCTCCACTTATCAATCTATTGGGCTGCCACTGTCTCACTTTCACCCACCTTGCTTTTCACTTAGTTCCAGGGTTTAGGTGCGGCGTGCACCCGCCGTTAGGACAATATCGGAATTGGATAAGCACGTAATCTACATTGTTTTGAAAGGGCTTAAGACGACCTTTTTCAGAAACTGATGTTCTATCAGATCTCTACAGCTCCCGTAATGCAACCCAGCATCATGGCATCGTACACGACCCCATCATCTCTATGTTGCAACCAACCATCAATTTGCTCAAATAAGTCCATCGCGCCCCGAGCGGCATCACGTTCGAGAATTTTCCCAGGCCACATCCCCTTTTCTTGGATCCCCTGGAACTGTATGGGTAGTGGCGGTGGGTGCACTCCGCCCGAGGTCACGTTCAGGACAAACGATATTTGCCATTTGTTCACGCCATAGAATGAGGCTTCTTTGATGTGATGGCGCGCGTAATCCGGTGGAGGAGTGGAATTCAAGTTCCAGCTTAAGATATGGGCGTCAAATGCAATAACTGATGGTGAGGGTAAAGTCAGTGAATGCGGGAGTAAATTTGATACGCAAATTCAAACTCGTCAACTCTGCACCAGTGGACTATGGAGAGATGGAAATTGCAGAGGACGATAACGATGCTTGTACTGAAAAAAACATAATTCGCTCACCTGGCCAGATGATTCCGGGATGTTCTATCACCAAATGCAATTCTCGCTTGCCATTGAATGCATCGTATTGGTCCATCTCAGCGAACACACGGAGAGTGGCTATCGCATCGTCTCCATTATCGTGCTGATCGCTTCCAGCAGATCTTCTCGCTGTTGGGAGTGGAATCTTGAACGGTGTAAGGAACTGTTCAATGTGATCACGCATTAGGAATCAGCCTTCTGTTTCTGGCCAACACAAATAGCCACGAGGACCACGAGGCGTCCGATCTCAAGGTCAGGATCGCGCACCTGGCTGAATGGATAAAGCACATCCCAATCAACGTTCCATTCGTCCATGGCCACGGCGCGAGGGTCGGGCATTCCAGTTGCGCCGAAACGGTCTGCAATATCTGAAACTAATCCAAGAACACCAGGCGCGGAGTCCGCCACGCTGACATGCAACGATCGTTCACCGCTCAAGAGCTGTAAAGAAGAAAAGCAAGCGCCTAGTCAGATTCATCCGGTTGCGAAAGCAACAGCTGTTGATAACGAGAAAGCAGCCCTTCACGTACATCTTCTGAATGCAAAATAAACAATCGGCGAGGATGAAGCTCGTCGAAGATAGCGATGCACCCTGTTGCGAAAACAATTATGATAAGGATTGATATTGCCCCGAGTATTGCGAGAACCCGTCGAAGGAATCTACGCGACAGCCGCCATGAAAAAGATATGGCGTGGGGGACCACGAGGAAGACGCTGATGGCAACGATCGAGGCCACGATGTGCTCCGAGGGTGCCTCCTGGATGATTAAAATATCAGATTAGATGTTCATCAGTTATGCATGGCGATCCGATTAACGTGGTTGACAGGGAAGTAGAATGCAAATCTCGAAGATACCCATGAAACGATAAGCAAGGGAAAACACACTAACATCTCCAGTACGTCCCGTCTAAGGTGAGTTCTTTGAGCTTTCTTCCAGAAGCGAACGCTCACCCCTTTCGGGCCCAAACCAAAATCACTCACTAGCGGGACAAAAATTTCCAAGAGTACGGCAGCAGTTTCTCCACCCAAGGAAGCAGGTATTATCTGAGCTATGAGATACGAAACGAGAGGAAGTCCTTCCGAGTCCCTCCGCGCTGGCGCCACATAGTAGCAAAGAGCGAGAAAAGATGATAGCCCCCACAAGAATCCGATGGCGGAGGAGCCGACGCCAGCATACTGCAAGCCGACTGCCAGAGATACAAAAAACAAATGAACGGAAGTAAAGGACACAACCTCAGAGGCAGCAGAACGATGGAATAAGCCACTTCTGTGCCTAAAGAGCCATTGGGGCAACAACAAGCCTAGGGAAAGGTTCAATGGACAAACATTCCAATTGGAAGCGACTGACCGAACATCGCTGGGCCTACGTAGAGTGCAGCAGCGTACCACTCTCTTGCAAACCAACTCATCTTTCGCTTCGCCACATAGGCCATAAATCCAGCCACAACGTTGGCACCTGTGGCAGCCCCAAGAATTGCCGCCAAGGTATAAATACTTCCGTGAAAATACTCAACAATACTGATACCGACAGGGGCGGAAGAGTACGCAAGGGCGAGTGAGAGCACCAACAAGGCATTATGAAGTTGCTGGGCGACGGAAAATGGCCAACTCAGGAAGTAGGTGCCAAAGAGAGTGAAGTAGGTTGTTTGTGGAGGACTGAAAGTTGAGAGTCGGGGAATCGGTGACGCAGGAGATGACAGATACTTGAGAAGTGCTAGGACATTCTCAGCCATATGTTGAGTCACACCGGGATGAATATTTGCTACAATATCCTAGGCGAGGATAAGACACGTCATACAACTGTAACTGTTGAATACCCACCCTTCGAGTATGGTACAAATAGGAACCACCGACGATGGCGATCTTAGACATGATTAAGCATCTGGCTATGCCGTGGAACCGCAAACAAACATACATCTAACCCAGTTAGGTTGCGATACTCTTGGAATTGCCGGAAATCGGTGCTAGACAATAACCAGGTAATAAGTCCTCAACGACTACATTGGGGATTAAACAATCACGCACTCAGACAGAATGATTCCGCTGCTGAATATATCATTCGCTAACACGGTGCCGTATGGCCTGAATGAAGCAACATGAAGACGAGTTGCTTGCGACTTCTAGTTTCACAAACCTAGGGACGTGAGAATATGCCTCAATCATCTCTTCTGATGTGGCCTGGAAGAGCAATTCGGGGCCCGAAACTCCCGCAGCTGTATGAAGGCATCAATTAGTAGCAATGACCTGACTACTATGAATCCGCGGATGGTGCACCTTCAAGATTGAGAACAGCCCGTGCCCTGCACCAAATACCGTAAATACAGTCAAGCCAGGCAGTGCATGGTGAAACTTACGTCCCGCCCATTTCGCCTTGTGTGGAAAAAAGGTGTGAACCATCTTGAAGACTCTCCTCAGCATTATTCCATACTGTAACCAACAAGGCGCATATATAGCGGATCAGTGACACTTGTGGACGATGGGCGCCGGCGTACAAAAGATTATTGCGGATGCCGGCGACCAGCCCAACGTCTGAATAAGGACACGGATACAATCAAGCATGATTGCAGAAGGAAGAGCATCATCAGCTGCCCCTGGGCTCGGAAGTGTGGAATCCTGCCAAATCAGAAGGTATGGACAGCTGTCAGTGAGAATCAAAGGGACAATTGTAGGGTCCACTCAATAACCCCCATTACCAAATGCGCATTCACAAGAAGGGCATGTTCCTTCCCCGATGGAGTTCCATTCGACAAACGAAAGATAAGGTTCGTGACGTTCGTGTATAATTTGTCAACTCGTCGACCCATCATGTCGAAACTGATTGAATGGATAGACGACAATTTCAGTCTGTTTTTTTTTTACCAACAAATCAAGATTCACCGATGCGAACCACTCCCGACTTGCCTCACAACTTCGCATTCCAAACCGCCTCTCAACTTACCAAGCCTGTCACACTCCGCTTTCAACTGATGTAAGCGCCCAAGCATCCAATCTTCGGCGTGGGCGTGCTCTTTTGTCCCTACAATTCTGTACAAATATCGCGTCTTTGTAGTGTTTTCAGCTCGGTATGATACCTCAGACAGAGACTTGGCATCACGCAGAATGGCCGTCTCGGAAAGCATGGGAAGTCCAGTATTAGGATCAGTTCTGGTTGAGGATCGCCGTCAGCCAATCCAGATATCGCGAGAGGCGTTCTGAGTTCCGGTCCAACATCCCGGACCGCCAATGAATCTAACGGCTTACAGATGATCATTTGGTGAGGGGAGATCTCCAGCAGTGAAACATTGGTGATCGCGGAGATCAGTCAATACGAATTACCGTTGGATGAAAGGGTTCCCCGGGTGGCGTATCAAGATTACAGGGTGTGAAACATAAGTTTGCACACATCAATGGGGATAACACGCGAAGGAGCGGGGGAAAGCACCAGGATTGAAAGTGGGGATAGGTGAATAATGCGGGTAAATAGTCGGTATTCGCGTATCCCAGCGATTTTTTTTTCCCGGTGAAATGCAGCGCGTCCGTGTGGAAAGATGGGGGCCATGCATTTGGGTACGAAGTAGATTGCGGTATGTCAGCTGACAGCCTGGTAAATGCCAGGCACGGTAGGGCACATTATCTCATGGGAAGAGACAAGGCGACCCTACGCACGCTAGACCTGAGATAGAAGAAAGGATGGGAACGTACGATAATGGGCTTTTAGTGTAAGGAAGAATCCCAGAAGTGTCAGAAATGCAAAGGCAAGAGTTGACACAAGCGGTCCCAAGGGCCTCCCAGACATTGTTCTAACGTTCAGAAGTCAAGAGAACTGTGCGTTTGGTCTAAATCTCTAAATGGTGGTGTGATTCTTGGTCGGCGTCAGCTGCTGAGTAGATCAACGTTGCATCACTCCGTGAGAGCGACTTCGGCGGCTTAGATTATTAGTGGTTGTTGATATCGCAAATACAACTCAACAATGGCATCTCACGTTCCCACGGTGCGCCAACCATACTGTCACCACCATTCACGTCACCCCGACAACACACCCAGAAGATACCAACCCGAGGACCTCTTGACAGAAGCCACACACCAGCAATTTTATTTTGGATTAACGATCTCATATGCTACGGTTGCAACCTGAAGGGGCAGTCGCGACACATCGAGGCCGCGGGGTAATAATCTGAACCACCACCACCACCACCCCTGAGAGAATATTAGCAAGAATTCACCCCTTGGTTCTTACATGATAATCCCTGAATCTCCAGCATTCACAGTACCGTAATGTTATTTGTGCTGGAATTTGTATGCTCCGTCCGTCTGCAACTCATATTACCGTCTATCCTCATCCTCGGACCTAGTCATCATTGAAGGCGTCCAAGAGCGCTCTAACACCAGGGGCCCAACATTTTTACTAATTTCCTGCACATTCATCAACCCTGCTCAGGAGAAAACGGCTTCATTTCAGAAGCATCGTCTGAAGTGCAAAGCTGCAATTCACTGCTTACCAAAAAGAGCAAGCAAGAAAATTGATTGACGAACTCATCTCCAAGGATCACACTTAAGCTATGATCCATATATGTACATATATACATGCCCTTCGCCTTCTCCTTCAGGGCCATGGGACGGGGGGAAAGTCATTTCTTACTTTATTCCCAAACTATCACAGAGTTATTGATTGGAGTGCCGTGGATGTCCTCGGTCTGCTTCTGCGTCCTCGATCCGTATCATGGACCTGGCGACAGGGAAGCACAGCCACAGCCTTCCCTGATTGACCCTTTGCGGATCAGCATCAGACTGCACCGCCGATGGCTCACTGCGGCAACAAAACGACTCGCAAGGGTGATGAAACACGGCCAACCCCATTTACGGACTGATCTCCAGGGACCTTCCTTGATTTGTTGGATTAACAGTCCCGAAATGAAATACATCCACGGGGCAATACATATTCATCAATCCTGATAAAATCGCCACATTAATGAAATCTCGATCGTTATAAATATTTCCATAAAAGTGTTCGATCTTCAGCAGTCGCGATGGCAGCAGAAAATCTTGGACAGCAGAAAAACTGAAATATCATTTGATTCCTCTCTTCGCCGAATCGAAAGACTTGCAATCAACAGAAAATGAAGTGAGAACTGAATTTACAGGAAGAGGCCAGCCAGCATCCAAAGGCACATACTTCGAACTTTGAATAATGTCAATTTGTAACGTAGAGACGGGAGAGGTCGATGCGAAAGCAAGAAAGAAGAAACGAAGAAATTATCGTAGCAGGTTTATTCTACAAGGGATATCAAGAACGAATAAGGTATGTCAGGGTCCATGCAATGCGGATAGGATGGATGCTATCTATTACTGATGAATGCGAGCAATGATGATGATGCAAATGCGAGAATGAAGGATTCGATGTCGGGGTAGCATTGCGAAGGCTAGGTGGCGCAGAACGAAGGGGAATTTCCCATATGGTACGCCAAAAAGGAGAAGGAAGAAAAAAGGAATTAACCCCGCCGAGAACAGTAAATAAAACATATAAACAACACTGCTGTTCGAATCGAACGCTGTTTTGTTGAGGCAGGTTTTCACCGCCTGGTTGGGATGATCGTCCTCGTGGTAGAATCACGATTCCCCCTAAGCAACCCGAGCAGCTGGGTACCGCCTGTCCCTTTGATAGGGCACGCCGAAGGTTTGGATACAACGTCGCCGAGTCCAAGACCAGAGACGGGGCAGACGGCTAACAAGTCAGCGTCGCCTTCCTCAGCCATTCGTCTGAGCATGGCGCTGACTGGACAAGCGGAGGGTATAACTACCCTCTTACCCGCCTCGACTGCTGCCTTCCGCGCCTGTGCAACCACATAAATACCAGCGATCTTCAGGTGAACGTCGCGAAACCTGCGCATCGCGCACACGGCATCGTTGTACTTGGTTACGAGTTCATGGGCGAGAGGAGAGTTTGCTTGAGAAGCGGAGATAGCCATTGAACGAAGCGAGAAATTACTCGAAACCAGCTTGTGGAGGAAGCCACGATGAATTGCAGGCATATAGCCTTGCATTCTGATTGATAAAAAAATGAATTGCAACAGCAGTGATTAGACGGGTGGTTGAGGGCACACATATTAATTAAGTGGAAAAGCTCACCTCCTCATGAATGTGCGATCCGCATCCTCGCGTGTTACTACGGGAGAGCGGAGATCATGCTTCTCCATCGTGTGGTCAATGTCGAGGAATACGTCTAGCGAATGCATCAAGGTGCTCTGGCCGCCACTTGGGCCAGAAAGGCTCTTCCACTCTTCCCTGACGGGCCCGACACCTTCCCACATCCAAGGAACTTCGCCAGACGACGGACCACGAAACCAAGGTCGAATGAGATTGTAAAAAGCTATGGGGGAGCAGGCGCCATTCACATCCCTGAGGATGGTAATTAAGTCTTCAATATTCTCCGTAAGCGCATCGAGTCCGGTGCAAACGGTTTGAAGGATGTCCGCACGAAGACGGCCCAAGTCGCGTAAGTCTAAATTCTCATATGCGGCCATGACGGCGAGAGCTCGAGTTCCGTGAAGCTCGATGTCAGCGCAGCATTGGTAGAACGCGATTTCATCGTCCGTGCCCGAAAAAGTTGTCAAAATGCGGAGATTTCCAGGGGCAAGTGGTTTACTAGGGTCACGGGGGGCAATGTTCCAAAGTACCGTATCCGCATACGTGAGAATGGGTGCCATGCCAAGGTCATCGGAGACGGCGAAGAGTGGGATTGCGAGAGAAGCGGGGACGACAGGTGCGGAAGTAGTATTAGGGGTTAGAGAATGAACATAAAAGTGGACAAGATAAGCGAGAACATGATGTGCCCGATGTTGCAGTTGAGAATAACTTCGAAGGATTTCGGTGTCAAGCACTGGCATCTGTGTTATGGCGTCAATTCATTAGGATCGAGTGAGCGTCAAGGATATTAGACACATACAGCCCGAATGCTCTCTTGCCACCGCTCAGTGGAAGTCCGCTTGGCCAGAGCCTCAGACGAGGCATCTTCACCTAAGCTAACGACGGAGTCGGTGCCACAATTGACGAGATCTAACGCTCGCTCCCAAGCATCGAAAGGCGAAGGCAAACGCGTGCAGGGTGATGCTGAAGGAGCAAAGCCGGTAACGGGGGAGATGTCATAGTCAACGAGCTTGAGGGTCTATAGTTTGGGTTGGGTATAAGCATTCGACTTCGGCGCTTGGAAGGGTCGACGGAGCTATTGAATTGACTTACGGATCGGGGAGCAGACTCGACACAGCGAGCTGATTTGGCCCCAAGGATGTTGCTGGCGGTGTGAGCGATGGACTTGATGGTAATCATTGGTGAAGACGGCATGATGAAGATGGGAGAGGAGCAAGTAAAACTGGTTAGATAGGGTGAGGACGAGTTGGGTGAATGAAGAAGAGTCATGCCCTTTTAATCTATCGCGACGCAGTATTTTGGAGATTATAGTGGCCAGGGCTACTCAGCAGCGAAAACTGACCGAGTCCGAGAGGAGTAGGAGGCCGTAGCAGTGATTCGACGACACCGTGGACTTCACACGACGAGGCATATCGATCCTTTACACTTTGCGTGTAATATGATTGGGAAACCTCAGAATTACAGCGGGCCATTGGGAATGGACGAAAAAAGCGAATAAAAGCGAGCTATGCGAGAGAAGAAAGTGAAAAAATCAAAAAGAACCCATCAACATAAGCGGCAATGCCCAGGATTTTTGGGCTAGTGATAGGAAAATGCACAGCCATTCAAACGGAAGTGATTTTTTCTTTTTCTTTTTTTCCCATTTCCTTTTTTCCCTTCTTTCTTTTTCGTGTGTACTTTCCCGTTTTCTGGTTTATCGTTTTTAATTATCTGGTGGAGAGTATCTGATGTTAATTCACCGCCCATCCACGATATGTTCCTCCCCGCTCGGTACAGACCTAGCCGTTATTCTCCATTTGCTTACAGTGAAAATCGTCAATGTGGTCATGAGCTCCGAGCCTCGGACGATGGCACGCCAGTCGTCGACACATGTGTCCGCAGTACCTGACATGTCCAGAAATGTAGCCGGAGATCCCACTCCTCCATGGGATTTGTTCGTTCCATGTGTTGATCATTCTATCCATCGTCATTCAAACCATCAAGAAATGGTTTCCAATCTATTTGAACAGATGTAGAGAATGTTCACCTTCATCTTTCACTAGAACACTAGATGGACCATATGGGGGTTCTGTAGATGGAAAAAAAAATCACATATTCACTTCATATTCCATCAAGGATGCTTGGGAGACCTCCGTATGCACAGCATGAACCCCATCAGACCCAACGTCCCCGCGCGTGACTCGTCCCATCGCAAATGAGAGTGGATGCACACTCAGCACTCTGATCATATATATGAGGACCTTGACAACAGACCCATGTATCTCCGTTTCATGCTCCTCGTCCCCCTGATTCGCAGCTATATGCAGCTTGTTCCGTTTTTACCCCCTCGCAGCAATCTGTCGTAGCGCCCGTGCGGCCCCACTGCACATATGCATACAGCTGATCACCCATGTGCGCCGCGCACATTTGCAATCAGCCCTCGTGCACTACCCCAATAGCTCACTCACTGTTCCTGTTTCTTTCCTCATTGCAAGTACCTAATGTTACTGGGTTCACAAGACCTTCGCCTTTCCTTTCTGATCTGTATTGATATTGACCAGAAAAACACGAGCGGTTGCGACCACTCCACGTATCGCCCGTGACTTCCGCCGTACCCGACCAGGCCCTAGTCCGAAGGCAAGCAGTCCAGACCGTTGGAGTCCTATTGAAGCAAGCTAATATTAAGCCTAATGTGATTAGCACGACTGCATCCCAAGGTACACGCTGGAACGGCTGCGTTTCCAACCTGGCACTCTTGGTAAGGAATTGGCGAGAGAGGCCTAATTCCTCGTTCTCCCGAGCCGTGCTGTGGCCAACATATCTCACGGCCATTGATGTCCTTTTTGCCTTCAGACCCGCCCGAACGCCCGAACCTGAAGACTCTGCCCACCAAAGCCCTCCACGTTCTTTACTCACCCGCATCACATAATCATCGCTTTTTCTCCGGGGTTCTCATATCGAACTTCCTTTTCTGAGCGAAAGCAACACTAGCTTTTCAATTCAGTCACCCTCACTTATCTTGAATGTCTCACGCACACACCCGAATGGTCTGAGGAGTTCCTATCCAAGACTTGTGATCTTCTCCATGTCCTACTCGCTCCTACCACATCATCACAACCGTTCTGCAATTGAGCTTGCGACCAAGTAGGTTCAACATCGAGCGATGTGCGCACATATTTGGTTAATGCGGCTTTGGCCGAAATTGCCGTGACTCGATATGAAACAACTTGAGTCAAGGGGGGACCTGTCGATGTCATGATAATGCATCACGACCCTGCATCGTCAGCGAAACTCGGTAGAGTAGAGATCCTGTTCCTGAGGGTTGATGGAGCCATACAGTGAGATTAGTTTAAGTCACCGGGCAAGTCCAAGAAAATCTGCATTACTGTATATCCGAAGTGTTTAGACAGCGGAGGCGTCGTACAAGGCTCTCAGGCAAGTTTTGTCCATTCTTGAACGTGCGGCAAACGAACTCTGTTGGGTCTTAGTTTGTATCGTGGTCGTGTACGTGCTTGGGACTTTGTGATCGCTTTCCATGAGCCTTCCGGCGTCTTTACATGCCTGGGAATCAGACTCCCTGAGAGTGCTCGAGCGTAACCGAACGGTCTACTAGTTCTAACCAAACAAGTCCCATCTGTGCGAGGGTGCATCAACATTACAGTCAACATGTCTAGCCCGAGGCCCGCTCCTTCATCATGTCAAAATACCAGGTGGATTTCGCACCGGCGGTTTTCAGCGATATGAATATTTGCCTTTTTTGACATAGAAGTGGTTGTCATGGATCAAGACCACTAGAGGCGCTCGTGGCACAATGTCCATGGCAACACACAATCGTGACAACGCGAGTGCCTCAATGGCCGTTGCTATGCACTGTATGCACTGTCAAGTCGCGTGTTCACCTGTTCCGCATCGCAAGGCAATCCGATTCCCTGCATGAGTGCACTCTTCATTTTTGCTTTGCTAAAGAAGCATGCAACCATCACTCATGCCGATGGGGGTTGATCCCCATCGATTCAATTTGGGGTGCCTCATGGTTAATGCGCCCACCCGTAGCGCTAGTTCCACTTTCAGACTTCCGGCAAGTTAAAATGAAAAGCTTCATGAAATTAGAATTAGGTGAGAATCGAGAGAAAGCGCGGCGTTAAACTGTCTCATCTCAGTCACTTCGCCCTCTTGGCTCCGCCCTTTTGAAATCCCGACAACCCGCTCGCCCCGACGGTCTCCAACCCCAAAAGACGAATACACGTCCTAACACTCGTGTATGTTGCGGTAGTGCGATTCGAAAACTGACCAAAAAATAGGACACGTTGAAGAATGCCAACGTCCTAGCCTTCCATTTCCTCCGAGGGCATGCAACTGCGCTTCTCTATCAACTGCGTCGCCCCTGGGCGCTAGCGTGGGATCGGCTCCACTGAGATCCCGAGTCAGGCTCGACAACCGTTAATGGAACCTCGGACTGTCCCATGTTAAGTACTTGTGCCTGTGTCAGTGATTCACCATGGCGAAGTTGTTGTACGAACCGGAGTTATGGTAAACACTCAAATCCCAAATAGGTTGATCAAAAATTCTTATTTGGGAACCCGAGGCAAGCGCAGCTTCAATTCTTGCCTATTATCGTAGTTGAACCCTGATAACGCTCGGGGTTATGATCGAGAGACCCTATGACAGTTTTCTGCATGCTTGTCAGGTTCACTGAATGTATTTAAGCACTTGCTTGTTTGTTCTTTTTCTTGACATCTATTCTGAGACCGCGCAGCGAAGTGCACGACTCTATCCATCCTTTGTCCGCGGTGCACAAAGGACTTGCAGATGAGAAAGGAGAAATGTTACGTATATCCAGGCTTCTGCAGAGCCTCCCGTGATGCCTTTCGGTTAATGACGTCGTCTGTGCGTCTTCAGTGTCCGAGCGTGAGTCTGGCTGACGACCAAGGAGACTAAAGACCGGAAAATAAACCGCAGGTAATCGTGTGAGTCATGCCGAGTCAAACCGCCTTTCCGCCGCACAACGTTTAGTTACCGAAAAAAAAAAGCTTCGAGTTCGCCCCTCCCCCGCCGCTCTCTTAGCCCCAGCGAGTCCGTGCGAGCACACGCGCATCAAGCCAGCCCCGGTGACGCAATCCGGTTGTTGCAATCTACCCCGACAACTTTCCCCCGCTTCAAAATTTGCGTCGTGATGTTCTCAAATTCTCCGCCTCGGTGAATTTCTCTCTTTCAACTCCAAGAAGGAGAAGAGTTGAGATCTTGCAAACGCGAAAGTGTTCGCATGACCATACAAAGGCGCACCCATCTCATTGCACTTGAAAAGTTGGACCAAATTGACCTTGTTTGTGCGCCGATATTGACGCACATGCATCATTGGTTGCTTGAACCTAAAGTTTTACAATACTTCCGGCATCCCATCGCCAGATTTATTGTGCCTTCCAACCGATGCTTACTAGAGATAAGATCAACGTGAGCGTGTCCACGAACGGCATCAGGTGACTCCATGCCTAAGAATGGCTATATATGTTACTGTGAAGGGCAACTACGATCCAGCAAATACGTACCAATTGGCGGCGGGAGCCCGTTCCCGACGAATCATCATAATATAAAACCAAGAAGTTAACGTCACGTCGTAAATATTCGGGGTTACATAGTATAACCACGCGGGCGTTTCGGAATTAACTGAACCCAAATCGATGGGACGCAAGACACGTTGTAGTTGGGGTAAGCGGTGGATGATCGGGGAAGAAGAGAAAAGACACCATGAGAGATTTGTGAACATGCTCGGCGATTCATCCGATTCCCCCACGCATTGGGTAATGAATATAACGTGGTTGACGTCAGCGCGTCGCTGAGCTAAGGCAGCATGTGTCGAAGGGACTAGATGGAACCAGATGAGAGTAGAACCGCCGCTGATGGAGAGCGTCGGTACAAATATTGGTAAATACATGGTCAAGGTCGTTCCTCCAAGCACGTTTCCCGATGATTTATTCCAGGGAAATAATTGTTATAGACAGACATTATGAGACGGGTTCATCAAACCTATCCGTCGGCGGAGCGACAAGTTGGATAAGATAAGAGAGCCGAGAGATATCGGTGACGTGTACTATCCCCCAAAGGGCACCAATGATGGGGACAGGTGTGGGTCATTTATGGAGCTAGTTTTGATGTATTATGGGGCGGCAGTTCCCTAGCGAAGAGCGTCGGTCCAATAGTGATTGGAGACGAGTCACGGCGTTTTGTTGTCCTAGTTGGACAACAAAAGGGGGCCCAGCTAGCAGAGCAGGGGGGACATCGACGTAGGGAGCAAAGTCAGCGCACTCTCCGTCCCCCCCACTGCCCTTCCATGCTTCAAGGGCCCTAAGTCGAGGCAGGGCAACTCTCAGCCAAGTGTATGCTCCTTCGTGTGCTGTTCCTCACGTTGCCCTTGGTCTGTCTAAGCCAAACCGGTCGGGAGCAGTTGACACAGCGATCCCTAGGAGCTCCAGGAACACGATATGCCCCCCCCCCCCCCCCCCCACGAGCTCCGACATTTACTGGGAAGCTACCGAGCATCCGTTCAGGGCTTCACAGATCTTGCGGGGCGGAGTGGCGTCGCTATGTTGAATCACTGGTACACTGTATCCCAGACAGGATTTGGATGCGAATTATTGCGAGGTCGTGCCCTACTGGATAAATGTGTCCCCTCTTTCCATATGGCTTGTATGTTTTTGTTTCTCGACAAGGTGGGGTTCAAGCCACCATGCAATGATGCAAGACCACACCACATTGTCCCAATATATATGGCTTCTGGTGACGGCCTAGGGATTGGGGGTTTAATTTCCATCTGGAGGTACTGGTGGGTGACTTTTGCGGAAAATCTTCCCTCCTGAACGCTGGGGGATCATGTGAAACTCCCAGCAGTGTCACTTTCAACCTCAGCGGCGATCCTCGCGGGACTTGTGCCCGCGAACGATATCAGAGAAAGTGTTTCTGCCATGAATGTGCCTGGTGCAACTAATCCCTTTGCTGGAGTCGTTCCAGTAGCTGCTTGTCGGTATGAACTCGGGACGAGTCGTACGATTGTGATTAGACAATGCGGCTGGTTTATGCCCTTCGTAGGTCATAAGAGCTGGAACATTTAGTTTAATTCCCCACTTGCACACGTTGCGCATGGCCAATTTTCTGGTTGTCAAGAAGTTGACACATGGGGATTTCCAACAAACAAGTGTGAAGGTCTCCATCCGACTTGGAATATCGCATTCTGACATATGTGGAACTTTACATTAGACACACTAGCACTAGTACTCTCCTTTTTAGGTTCGGCGACGTGACCACACAGCCTGATGTGGGACTTGGGTTGCTGTTACCTTTTTGATGCAGTCCGACGGTCCGCAAGGCCGACCGTGCTCAAAGCTTACGAATGGACAACCATTCATCACGCAAGGGCTCCAAAATATGTGGGGGGCTTGGGTGGTCAGGTACGTTTAGTATAAGCGCTTCTTTTTCTCAGTTTGGCTGAGCCACTTGGTCACCTAGGGAAGGGGTGCGAAAACATTCGCATATTACTGTGTACTCTGGGAAATTTTGTAAAGATAACTGGATTGCGAACTCAGCTTTGTGTTAGTGAACTAGTCAATTGACAATGTACCTAACTATCGTACATGGATTCTTTTGTTAGTAAGGATCGTATCAATTAGAACATCGTTCTCACCTCAGCTTCAGCTGAGGAAGGCGCGGGAGGAGCAAAATGTTTATGTCCAAACGTTAAGGCCCAAGCGCGTATGGCGCAAGACCAAAGCGAGTCAAAGTGCATAAGGCTCGGTAATTGAACGAAGAAGAACAAAAAAGAAAAGAAAAATCTCTGGCCACACCATCTTGAGCCCATAGTGACCGAAAGCCACAATGAGCGCCCTGGGTAGCTATTGGACTTCCAACAGAATTCGTCTACCAAGCTTCAGGCCCGGAAATGGTTATATCCACAGCCGATGGTCATTACCGGACTCATGTCGATTAATTCATGGTAATCCAGCGGGTCTTCAATACGATGGGTATGAAGACTCTTGTCAGTCTTTTCAATCGTTGCCAGAAATTTGTGTGTCAAAAACTGACGGTGTTGGGGAGGCCGGGAGCTCGACGCTTTCCTTCCTCGAGACTTTAATTTTTCGAACCCGTTCGTTGGTCTTGCGCCTCGAGTTCCCTCCTAACAAACAATGTAGGATGTATCCGAGGGACTGAATGCTGCATTACATCTCAGTTTTGGGGTAGGACTCGGGGAGGGAGAATGGATATGGGAGTTACAAATCACTGTGATCTAAGAACACAAATCTTCAGTATTTTGCGGAGTATTCCCGGACCCTGGAAATATAGACGAATCATCACCTGCACCGGGTCTGAGCGTTCACGCCCCTACGTATCCCGTTATGTTTTATGTCTAGTCAAGCGCGTTTAGTTCTCTCAATTTTTTGGGGGGAACCGTGGAACCGTGGAAGTGCTAAAGGTGGGGGGGTGTCTGCGTCAAAGCAATCTCGATGGAAAATTATAGCCCCTCGATAGAGATCCGGTTTCGACATCGTTGGCCCTGATCAAGTGAATATTTCGCGGCACAAGTCAGGCCTGAGGTTTCAGGGCCTTGTCAGCAGCGCTCCCACGAACACGTGTGAGCAAATTGAGTTCTCAAGGGCCCATCGGAGTCGATCGCGATCGAGGGCACTCAGAGGCAACAATGGTCTACAAATTATCGCAAACTCTTGTAGGGCACTCTTCAGACGTACGAATCTGTGCTTCCACTCTTGCTGGGGCCAGCATTCACCTACCACCTTTCAGGTCCGAGCGCTTGCGTCGCCTTCGTCTGACCTGATTCTCTCCGCGTCTCGGGACACGAAGGCGATAGCATGGACGAGGCAGGGAGGGTCATCTTCCTTCTCGCCGTCTGTTCCATTTCATGCCGGTGAAAGGTTCGTCAATGCAGTAACTTACTTGCCTCCAAACGTAGAAGGGCCCAACGGTAGTGTTCACGTAACTGTTGGAATGTAACTATTCTGAAATATTTTGGTTTGGTAAGGATACCTCGTCACTGGTGGGCAAGATACTATTATAAATATTTTTCCCATTGGTGCTCGGCATTCGGAATCATCCCATATGCTAATTGGGCACACTGAGAACGTTTGCGCGTTGGATGCGACAACCAACGGAACCATAATATCGGGATCCTGGGACAAGTAAATTCAAGTTTTTTTACTCTGGTGGGTATTCTGCTCAATGGATGGATGGTTTAGAACTGCGCGCATATGGAAGGATTTTAAGGCGGCATACGAGCTTAGAGGCCATACCCAGGCGGTGTGGGCCGTGGTTGCCGTTGACGATGAGCAGTTCCTAACTGGTGAAGTGTCTCTCTTGATGGTATCTTACCTCGAGCCGACGTGTGGCCTATTAGGTTCCGCTGATAAGGAGATCAGATTGTGGAATCGACACAAAAGCATTCGGAAATTCCAAGGTCACAAGGACGCTGTTAGAGGCCTTGTTATCATCCCGAATATCGGATTTGCCTCATGTTCTAATGACAGGTAAGCTCTTTGCTCGTGTTATTTATGTAAGTTCATCAATGAACTGCATTGCAATCAGTGAGATTCGTGTTTGGACGCTGGAAGGGGACACGATATACACCTTGTCTGGGCACACTTCCTTTGTTTATTCCCTTTCTCTCTTACCATCGGACGATCTTGTGTCGGGAGGAGAAGACCGAAGCGTTCGAGTTTGGAAAGGCGAGTCCAGACCGAATCGGTCGGACTATGGCTGGCTGATTATGCATCTCAGATGGCGAGTGTGCCCAAGTCATAGTCCTTCCTGCCATCTCTGTATGGGCGGTTGCTACCATGCCGAATGGAGATATTGTTGCCGGAACGAGCGACGGCATCATCAGAGTCTTCAGCGAGAAGGAGGAGCGATGGGCAAGTCCTGAGACACTCAAGGTTTATAATAATCCTCTTCGCCTGTCATGCAGTCTGACGATTTGACAAACCAGGAGTATGATGATCATGTCGCTAACCAGGCCCTTCCTTCGTAGGTCCCCAAAAACACGTTTACTTGAGAAAGTCTCACTGTTGCCTTCAGTCAACAAATAGGTGACGTTAAGAAGTCAGATCTTCCGGGAACAGAGGCCCTAACGAAACCGGGGAAGAGCGAGGGTCAAGTCCTCATGATTCGAGGCGAAAATGGAGCTGTCGAAGCGCATCAGGTAGGCGGCACAGCCTCATTCAAGACTACCGCCTGATCTTGTGGTAAGTGGTCCTCAGGAACATGGCAGAAGGTTGGAGAAGTAGTCGACGCAGTTGGCTCCGGGAGGAGGCAGCTGTATGAAGGAAAAGAATATGACTACGTTTTTGACGTCGATATCCAGGACGGCGTACCCCCCTTGAAGCTCCCCTATAACATAACAGGCGAGGATGGCTATGTTTATTATTTCATCCGGCTACATGAATTCACGGTGCTTGCATTACGTTTTCAGAAAATCCCTACGCAGCAGCCCAAATTTTTTTGCAAAGGAACAATTTACCGATGTCGTATATTGACGAAGTAGTCAAGTTCATTGAGAAAAACACTTCGGGTGCTCAACTTGGTGAGCCATCAGGACAATTTGTCGACCCATACACCGGTAAGTCCCTAGGCACGGTCCTATCCGTTAATTGCTTAACACCCTTTAGGCGCGTCAAGTTACAGATCATCCACTGTGCCAACGGCTCCCACACCTGCCGGGTCTTACCAGGATCCATTCACTGGGGCTTCAAGATACCAAGCGTCTGCTTCAACTCCAGAGGGTCCTTCACCGAATACAGTGCATTCACATGATCCCTTCACGGGTTCGTCGGGGCACCGTGGTCATCACACCATTCCTGCTGCAACGGCATCAACAACGCCGATACAGCCACCGGCTAAACCGTTCCTTCCTGTAGTAAGTTGTATCTCAACTTCTTGTGACACAATTCTCAATAACGATTTGAAGACGACGCCATTAGCATTCCAACAGGCGAATATTACTGCAATGCGTGCGAAACTGAATGAATTGGAGCACAATCTTCCTGAAGATTCAGTATGCGCATTCAAATCTTGCATTAGATCACCATGACTTAGTCCTGCTTTTCTACCCCACTAGAGTCTACGCTTCACCCCTGAGCAGGCGGAAGCTCTAAATCGACTCTTTGAGCAGGTGAAAGCAGCATCTCAAGACACGAAGAATATCAAGGCGACCAATATATCTGCAGCGGACATCAAGATAGTGCTCGACCTTGTTGCGCAATGGCCTGAGACTTTACGGTTCCCAGGCAAGTGGTACCCTTGTGTTCCTGATCTCCAGATTACAATAGCTGCGTGTCATATGCCCAGTGCTGGACCTTCTTCGCATAATTCCTGCTTATTTCCCACAAGCGGTGACAACGGCACCAGTTGGTGCACTATTCACCCAGAGATTGCTCGAAACATCTGGGTGGAAGTTGCACCCATGGCCTACCCCACTTCCCAAGCACTTAGAAACAAATATATTACTGGCTTTGCGTGCCTTTGCGAATTCGTTTCAGTCTCACGATAACTCTGCAACCACGGCGAACAATGGGAAAATCACCAAGGCAGTGCGTGGCAGTCCTGATTGGGGGGTGATTCGTCCATTTGTCTGATATCGCATGGATTTGCTCAGTTATTTGAGGAATTGCTACAACCCTCCTTGGCGCCTCTGATAAAGACGCAGTGGGTGGCGCTCGCGACTATAGCCTTAAAGTGAGTCGTGAGCCAGTGCTGTCGGTTATGCAGGCCCCAGATGGCCGGGTGGCTTCCCTTTTGGATCCGTCTAATGCATCGGTTTACTGACCCTCTACTAATTCTTTGCTCGCTCAGCTATTCAATGGTCCCTTTCAGAGAAGAAGGGGAATTCATCAGGCAGTTGCATCTGAAATTAATCTCCAAAGTGCGTATATGCGTCCCAGCTGCGGTAATTAGGATCGCACTTATCACCGTTACGCTGGGTCGGGTTTACGTCCTCTCTCACCGCTTAATTATCATTCATTTATCTGGTCTTCATGGCCATGATGTTCCATTGGTAGATTCTATCAAGCACCGCCGATGGGGAGGCACAGTATAGGGCAGTTGTCGCATTGGGCAATGTCGTGCGTATGACCCATTGGCCTTTTACCTTTTTCTGATGGGATTCATGCTCGCAAACAATTCAAACTCATTCACACGGCCCCAAACCCCGCTTTTTGATGCAATCTTTCCATGTCTGTCATAAACGGACCCATGTCGTTGTTCGCCCACAACGACCCTTGAACACTCCTTTGCTTCGTGCTTCATCGAACCATGGAAATTTCCCACGGACACGAAACAGGTGCATGCTTCAAAAGTAGATAAGCCACTCAGCCCAGCAGTTCTGCAGGAAATCAAAGCCCTCAGTGCTCAGGTGGCGAAAAAGTTCGCGGAGGGCCGCTTCCAGGTAGTCAATGGTGAGATCGAAAAATTGGTTGGATGAAAGGAAGGAGTAGAAAGTGATTTCGAAGCGGAGCCTGATGTTAACGGAAACACGAGCTATATAAATGCGCAAATTTGTTCGAATATGAAGATTACAACTGTGAGCAGTCGAAGGATCTCCAGGAGGAAAAGACGCAGGGACTCGTCCAGAAGTTTTCTTCAGCGCGAAATGTGGTGGCGAACAGGAACATCGTTGTCGGTTATATAAATCGGGGTTTTCCATTTGAGTATCAGCCGATTGTGGCGGTTCACGGAGTCATTCTCAGTCAGGTTGTCCATCGATCTCTTAACATGGGAGGATCCACGAGGTTTCCAACTCTGGAGAATCCGTAGGAGTGTTGAGGGGGCCATGCCTGACTTTCTCAAGAGATTTGGGGTGAATCGACGGGAGCCTGCAACAGGTGAGCGTGGTTTGGACCTGATTCGACAATGTCTCAAATGCTTAAGGGAAAAATTTTGAGTCCGATGTACTTTTCTCCTCCACTCTTCGCCCGCCATAAGTTGTTTGAACTGGGGAATGGTGGATCTCCTCATGCCAGTGTGCCCTCTCTGATTGCTGGATCGATTATCTCGGACATTTGGCGCTATCTGATCTGTCGCTCGGCTGCACGCCAGCCATAGGGCTCCTGGGCGACGTAAGAGTTGCTAAGGAACGAATTTTTCAGGTCTTGCACCCTCGTACTCTCAATACCTTGCCTGGCCGTTAACTGGCAGTTTACGTGATACAACACTGATGCTTTCTATCCACATTGACAGGTGTGGGTTTGCTTCAGGGGGCTTTCTTGAAGAATTCACACATTAATACTCAACTGGTGCTCTGCTATCTCGTGGATGAAAACTCTGGTCAACGCTCTTGGAATCTGGCTGGGTGCTGTCGGGAGATTGTCGACACGGCACTCAGGAAGGTCCTGCTATATTTAGCTTTCATTCTTGATGGTGTCTCGGATCTCGGGACGGGACTTTCAGATAAGCAGCTCAGTGAACGTCTGTTGATTCTCGTTGCCCGGAGGATTCTTTATGCATACAATCTCGTGTGGTGAGGAGGTTGGGATCTAATGTTCTATGCGCCTTCTCTTTCGCGCCTTCTGAAAGGATTTAAAAGGTTTGTTGCTTTAGTTCGGGGTCCAGCAAACGTGTAAGCTGGTTGATTAATTTTTTGAATCGTAGAATATCGTGCCGATGCTTCTTGAATCGTTATTTGCTTTGGATGTGCGATGCATTAAATTGCTGTGCTTCCGTGGGCTCCAAAGATCTCCAAGCATTTGCATCTCGACTAGATTCGCCGCAGAAGATGGGCTTTGGATGAAGTCCTTCTCGCTGTGGATGCATAGTTTACGTTCTGTCCCGCTTCTCAACCCCGAAGTCCACGTCCCCGTGCCCCATATGGCTTCCCAAGTCCCTCTTGCCTCGTTGTCTCCATTCGGATGCTGCTCCTTATGCTTATCTTTCGTCGTTTCCTTTTGCTATCGACAACCCTTAGTAGTCGTGTAAGATCTGCCAACCTTCAATCCAGTGCTCCCGATTTCTTGGTTTCGCCATTGTGCTTTACAACGTGAACGGCAGTTCCTCACCCATCGTTTCTAACCCCCCCCGCTGTTCCTGCATCAAGGTCATAACATCTTCGCCACTCAACGATCGGTCGGGGATCTGCCGCCTCCGGTTCCCTGGACGTGTTTTTTTTTTCGATCCTTCAAACACAGAAATCACATGCTCGAAAGGACTGCTGCTGGCCATGTTTCTTGACGATCTAGGCATAGCCATAAATGTTCTCTTGTTCTTAAGCCTTTCCTTCTTAGGCGTCCGAATGGCAATTACGTGTGCATCATAAGGTCCTGTTATGAGGCAGAACACCAGAAGAGGCCGAATCTGGCGACGGCGTGACGGTCTAGAATTAATAAGGCATAATCCGAGTCAGGTGGTCGTATTCTCAACTTAAATCGTTTCATGTAGCATACAAGCTGACGGCAGCTTCTCTGCACTTGCACCGCAGGCGAGGCGGTGAGCTGCTCTTTCGAGCTGAGCGGGGTGGCAGCGTTGCTGGTTGATACGTGCGGTGATGAAACGGTTGTCGCCGACACTGATGAACTGATGAAACTTACCAGTTTAAGGGTCTCCGTGTGAAGCTCCGTTTGAATTGCAAGCTCATGTTGAGAGCCATTGCTAGTGGTCCAGTCATGTAAGTATCGACCGTGAGTATGTGCATGGGTCACGACAAAGAGGGCTGTATTATGTGCCAGTTAGAACCGCGTTTGTGTACTGCTTTTTGTACTTGCTGGGTTGTTGAGGTGGTGCTAGTCAGTTCAGGGTTTGCTTCCGCGGCAATTGCCGAACCTTTTCCAAATATCCCCAGTGCATTTTCGAATCGAACCGATCGCATCCCTCTATTCCCCCCTTCCTTCCCCTTCCTCTCCCCCCTCCTTCGTCGTCGAGTTCCGAAATGGCCGAGACTATGTCAATGCCTGCTCCTTTCCCACCATCGTCAAAGCAAGCCCTCCCTTCCTCCGGCGTATGGGAATGGACAAAGAGACGTAAATGGGCTGACCTCTTAGTGAATGAGCTCGCTGGCACGATTATCCTTGTTCTCTCGCCAAATGCTGAAGTACTCTACTGCGGTGCAGCCGCTGTTGAGTTACTTGGTTGGAAGGAGGAAGATGTCGTGGACACCTCTCTCATCAGTTGGATGCACGGTTGGTACATTTTTTTCCCCTTTGTCGGCATTGGTGATGTGGCACGAGGCTGAATGCTGACATCCTCCTTCTCGATCCCTGTTTATGCGCCTCTTTCCTCGCGTCGATCAGTGGGTGACCAGCCGGGCTTCATGACACATTTCAAGCACTGTGTTGAGTCTCAGTCGGAGCTGTCAACGTTTGCCCGCTTCAGTGGGAAAACCAATGATGGACGGTGGCATCTGTTCGAGATCAGAGGTCATCCTTACTTCGACCAAGCCACCCCTGAGGAATGCAAGTGCTTCTTCGCTATGGCACGTCCGTACCCAAGTCGCAACACTGCCATGTAAGTTCATTGACCATGCGTCGTCATCGGCGATCCCTGAATTCAGTTGATCGATGTAAAAAAAAATTAATACCACTCAACGCTCACTTCTCTTCATCTCAAATAGGCTCGACTCGTTCCTTGAGCTCAAGATTGAGAACATGCGTCTTCGTCAACGCCTGATGGAGCTCCGTCCGTCGAACTATCCTCCGCCACCGTACCTTAGCGCCCCCGCTATCTCCAACGTTAGGGGCGGGGACGAGTCTGGCCCGATGTATCAACCCTCTGCACCGTACTTCCCAGCTGCTGGCGGCAGGTCTACATTCGGCGCGGAAGAGTACGCGTACGAGCGAGACCGTTTGCGTGAACGGGAACGTGAGCGCGAACGCGAACGCGAACTTCAACGCGAGAGGGAAAGAGAACGCGAGTTTCGCGAGCGGGAGCGCGAACGTGAACGCGAGTTGGGTCACTCTCAGTCTCAAACCCGTGTGAGACAGCGGGAGGAAAGTAGCGATGACAGGGAGGAACCTGCCAGGAAAAAGAAGGTTCGCAAAGCCCCTGCTGGCGCACAACAGTATGTCTGTGTTACATGCGGGAGGACTGATTCTCCTGAGTGGAGGAAAGGCCCGTTAGGCGCCAAGACCCTTTGCAATGCTTGTGGATTGCGCTGGGCGAAGCGCAATCAGAAGCGCAAGAACGACAGCAACAGTGCGGCTACCGCCAATACCTCTCAAGACGTTAGCGCTAGCAGTGCAGGCGGTGCTACCTCCACTGGGGATCGCAACACGTCACCCGTTGATACCGCTGATGGCGATGCTAGCCAGGCTTGAGCTGGCTGGCATTACCTATCACTCAAAATAATACTCCCATCTCAACCACCTTATACACATCATACACTACAGCTTGTTTCATTTCTGCCCATGGGTTCTGCATCACTCATTTTTTAATATCGCATCCACGCCACTTCCCTCCATATGCTGTTCTCCCCTGCCCCATCTCCATCCATTATTCAACACCACTGTCTGTGTCTGCTTGTGATCGTTTGTCTCATTATCCTTTCCATTTATTTTTCTCTTTTGCACACCACAGCCGCCTTCCGTCTAATTATGCTGCTTTTGAACCACCACTTTCCGGCGGGGGTTTGAACACTATATTACTTTACCCACTTAACTCCCTACCCCCCACCTCCTCTCATAACTTATTCCTGGCCTTGGTTGGTAGTTCATCTCCGTCTGCCGTGCGTGACGTGTGCGCTGACGTCTGGGCTGCTTTCATTCCAACAGCCACCTCAAAACTCGCTGGCCGTCGGCGTCCCGTTATCTCTCCTGTCCATCCCCTTTCTAGTCCGTATCTATTATGTTCCCTCGATTCTATTCCGTCTCGTTTCCCCCTCTTCCTTTCAATCTATCCACCTTGCCATTATCATTTCCCTCCCTAGCTCTTCCCTCGCATCACTCTCCTATCACCACCATTCCCCAACGTCTTCCCCTCGGCAAACACCCTAACCCTATCTCATTTCTCCACGATTGCGTCCCCCCCCCCTCCTACCTCCTATCTGTCCTGCGGCTCTTGGTTGTATATATTCTCGTATATTGTTCTCATGGTTTCGAGTAGGACGAACCCTTTCTGCTCGTCTTGATCTTCTCTTTCGTTCTTCGGGGGGTCGGCTGCAGCATTGTGCCTAGTTCATGATTGTCTGCATGTCATTCGCTGGAGTTTATTTTTTCTTCAGGAACTTTGTTTTGCCTCTTCCTCTCGCCGGTCCAACATACCTTCTGTCGGTTTCCTCTTGCTTGCTCCGTGCCTCAACATGGTGGCAGTTGCAGCGTTGTGTCTCAGCTTGTCTGTGTGTGTTTGCATAGCCCACTGTTGTATTGTGGTCACTCTTGCCTGCACCACTGCAATTCGACGTTGTACTGCTCGTTCGTGGAGGTGCAAGTTGTTGATCTAATGGTGTATGTATGAGATTTTGTGCTTTGTTAGGCGGGTTGTTGCAGTTTTATACTTTTCTGTCTTTCATTGTTTTTGCAATCGATGCTATCTTTGTCGAGGGGGTTTTACACATTATATCAGCACGCTTGTGTGACTTGGGAGTGAGGAGTGCTGCTGTGATTTCTCAATCGCAGCCAATTTGCCGTCTTACATAGTATCAGACCCCCATAACATATCCAGAGTTAAACAACTGCCAAATTCACAGTTTTGCCTTCGTCTCTTTGCTTTTGTGCAAGTCTTGAACCAGTCGCTCACCGATTCTTCCGAGGTTTAGCCGCAACTTGCGTTGCTTCCGGAAATCTATAGAGACTGAGAGCAATCCTAGTAATGCCCCATACCGTTTCACTATGGGGCGTTATTAGGTTTAGCAGAGACTCAGTGTGTGACGCGCTCCCGTCCAACGCTTGGCGCGCCCAGTTTATGTCCCAGCAGAAGGTTGGAAGCGAGCCTTGGCCGCAACCAGCATTGGTTGGCCTAACTTTCCCCAACAAGGTGTGAACGCAATCAGCTTCATTAGAATCATGCCTCATGGCCCAAGGGCGAAAGCAACAGTTCTACTTATCTCAGGACCCTACTGGTGTCAGCGTTGTCTCTCACGTCTTGATCAATTGTTTTCCCTTAGTAAGCACCATGCATGGGTTGCGGTGTTGCAATTTGGCCCCGTATTATGTTTTGGAATTGCTTCAGCAGAAGGATACTGCTATTGGATGACCCCACAAGGATGTACAAAGAACATGTCTTTCTGGTGTGTATGATCCGGGGTACTTCAAATTTTCTGGCTATATGTAGCAGAACCACGTTAGGCTCGAATATAATGCTTAAGTTTTAAGTGGTTAGTTTTCACTTTTTCTTTTCCACGATCTACGTGCGCCCGTTCCTGGGCCACGATTTATGTGTCCTAATAGGTGTAGAAGCTCGTTTACTTTGCTATCCTCAACGCGCGCGACGCGCGAGGCTGTACATATATATGCCCACTCTCTGATGACTTTCTTCTTTCCATATTTGGCACGACAGACAGGCGGGCATTCGACACTCTTTTGAGGCAGGGACGACACTATTTACGTCTAGCACCAAGGGGCTATTCGCTGTTGCCTTTCTCACTTGGGCACCGAATTTAGCGAATTCTTCTCTCTTGCCCAGGTGTTCGATACCATGGGTCAATGAGCTAATAGGGGGCGCCATTAGTTTGGATGATGCAATGTCCGCCTTCATTGGTACGTACATAGTTTGAGGGTTATTGTCATATCAGTACTGTGATCATTTAGCAGAGCATATACTCCTCTCGGGGTATGCTATAACTCAGCTTGAATATAGGCAGCATCAAGTTGATGTATAATAAGCTGTTACCCACTCCGCGCATTTGGTTTCACGCACCAGGGACTGGCCGAGTCCATTTACCATAGATTGTCAAGATGTGTGATAGCAAGTTTGGGGAAGAACCTAGGTCCTAACCTATTTCCCGGTTTTTCAATCCCCGCAGTAAGCCACTAGTGTACTGGCTGGGAAAATAGTACTAGGGTACTAGTACCTCCGTGCATGATGTTTCCTGAACATCTTGAACAATCCCTCTCTCACCCCGGTGGCTGTATGGGCGAAAGTACCTCTTCGTGATCAAGTTTCAATGTGACCCAAGAGTTCTGTCCGGCGTCTGCGGGGTCCGTGGGATAGTGAGGCAAGTGCAACGTCAGAGATCAACGAAAATGTAGATCAATTTCATGCGGACATTCGATAGAAAACATTAATTTACCATTCCCACCTAAGCGCGTCCTAGCCTTTCTTTGCCTTCTGCGGCTCCTTCCGATTTCTGAGTCTTCCAAACTCACTTTTGGCTCAGGGGCAGTATTCGAGTGCGTAATTAGCTAGTTATTTGGCTTTCCATTTGTCAAGGCATTGAGCTAATGACGCGATCTGACGATCAAAAACAAAAAACCATTCCCACCAGGATCATTACCGGCTCCCGCCTCAAGCAACTACCAGAATCGGATTAGTTGGTATCTGGTCTCTTCACTAGTTCATAGTCCGGCCCGCCGCGAATATACGAGTCACCGGGGGTGTAAGTATTATTTTCCGGTGTTTTTTTTTTCTCAATGTCGGTGACCAAGGATGTTGACTTGCTGCAACGTCGTTGTCTTAGATATGCCGGATTCGAGCGTGATAACGCCCAAATCCCATTATCAGTCCCTGCTGACCTTGCACTCCAGACAAAGCCTCGCTTGGATCGCCGGCGCGGTCACTCTTGCTCCGCGTGCCCTTTGATTTTTCTATTACAGAATTATCTCAGATATCCCCGGCGCCTCTTTTACGCGTGTGTTGTATATGTTGGTTTTGTGTTGTCAGTGTCACGCGCGATGGAGTGACAGTGCTGTCATTGCTAAGCCAACGTTAACACGAATTAGCGCTGGAGCAGACCCATGAATTAACTGGGCAGGTGATCGGGTTGATATGGCCGAATTTATTGATCTGTGTGGTCTCTGGGACTTTGATCAGATCTTATCGCTACATGTTATTTTCCAACGCAGTGCATGGTCCGGCTTTCGTATTTCTCGGCCTCCGCAATCGCCCCGAAAGGGTGTGTGGACTTGATGAATGCCTTTCGGGCTTTGGCTCAACTACTGAATACAATGACGTGGATCGTCCACAACTGTGGGCGCCGGATCGCCGATATGGCGCTTGACGTCGAACACGACCTTCTCAAAATTGCGTTTTCACGACGGCGACTATACCGAGCTGATCGGGCACTCTCCTTCAGGAATCCGTCTTTAATGCGGGTACAAACCGAGCCATTGATTTTGAATCATTGGCTTGATCTAGCTCCCAACGACTTTTTTCTGAGTGTTTTGTGCTTTGCTTAAACTGCTAAATTGAGTCGCCACCTGGTAGACATGGTGCATTTCTACTGCACCGACCCGCCTGGCATTGGAAATTACTGTTTTCCTCAAGTTTTGTCAACGTCGTTGGCTGGATTAGTTGTGGACACCCCCGTTTCGTTCTGGGATTTTGATGAGAAGCGTCGGCAAAGCTGGCTGGGGAGATAGCCATCGCCTGCCAGTGAAACACCGATCGATGTGATTGCTTGATGTTACCTTCAAGGCAGCTTCCGCCTATACACTGTGTAGCTGACAGTCGTTGGCTGGAGCATGTCGAGCTCATTGCAGCGGAATGTTCCTACTCACCGAGTCTCTCCGTATCCTACCGTCAGTAGATGCGTGTTTGCAGCAGCAAACTTAGCTGTTGCAGTGAACCAAACTATCAATGCTGGAATGCCCCAGCTCACGCTTGTCGACGTAGCAATCCGACGTGGTGCAGTGACAAGGATGGGCTACCGGGCACCCTATTGCCGACGTGGCGCACCAAGCCACACATACTGTAACTACTGCACTGGCGGCGGAAAGGTCTCTTCCTAACTTCATGTTGTGCGCTGCTCTGTATCTTTTGTTCTGGCCACCCAAATAGGTATATAAGTGTACGCGACTTGGCCAGAGCGCGGTATCTAGCAATCGACTTGATATCGTGCTCAGATATCCGCTGCCGGCTGATAACAGACCCACCTTCTTTACACTGAGACCTATTTCTCTTCGCTCGATTAGGAGCGACCACTTTTGACGCCAGAACGTTTTGAAATTGCAAGCGCTTGTGCGATTTCTGTATAATCTCTGGCGCCCTTTGAGACTGCTCCGGCTGTTTCGGGCCTAGTGTACTACCGTTGTCTGTCTTCCTTCCGGCTCAACCACCAATGCTACCACTATAACTACCAGAGGCGTGGAGAGTGTAGCATCCACCACAGTCGAACTGGAGTCCTTGTGCCAATGACTCTGGGCAGATGATAGCACATTGATTTGTAGCCTCACAGGTTTTCCAGGCACATTGCTTACCTGTCTAATTATGCAACCGAGATTTACGCTTGCTGCGAAGGCCGATAGGTTGCCACCATCTCTACTTTCATTTAGTGTCGATATGGCCTCCGAGGTTCCTAGTCTTGGGACATATCTTGCAGATGCCCAGTCTTTGCAGAAAAAGCACCGGTGACAGTGTGCCTCGTTCAAATTATCGTTTATGACTTTGATCCCATCCTTTACTACAAGCAATATATCGATGTAGATCGGGGCCCAGATCAGTGCATACCCCGATGTCCGAGTTGTGACTATCGTGGCGCCCGATTCGCTTGCCAGTTTAGTTAGCAACATGAACGCCCAGAGGTGTGCTAATGGTGCGTCCACAAATGCTCACGATGTCAAGTATCGACTGTCATATTCAGTTTCTGATGATTCAACTTCTATAATCGACCTCTACCTGTGCCCTGATGCTGGCCATACTTGGATGGTTTGGGTGGCCCACTAACAATGAATGTTGGAAGTGCGTTAAGTACCTTTGGTAGCGAAGTGTATTTACGTGTCCTTTAGACTCTTGCAGCGTGACTCATTGGATAGTTTTTGTCACGAGCAGGCTCGAATCCGTGAGTAAGTTGTTACCAATGTCGCCACTGACAGTTACAATGCAATCAGTACCGCATCTCAACAACAGCAGCAACGTCGTTCTTCATGCAGACCCGACTCCATCACAACCTTATTGACGCTATTGTCCAGCCGGGTTCAGCGAAGCTGCGAGTGCGTCTAGCTTACGGTACAGTGAGCGTTGTAGCATCTACAACGCCACCCCTAACGCGTCGGATGGCTTCGAGACGCTCACCAAGAGGCATCGTAAATTGTCAAGGCTGTCGTACCTGCTTCTGCCTCTCATCAGACATGTGAGACTCTGGGATCTCGTAAAGAATAAAGAAATTGGGCCCGGTGAAGTGATCCAAGGGAGCTCGGAACATGGGGAACCCTCCGGGAGAACGGCAAGCAATTATCCTAGCGCGCTTATTCATGCGATGGTGTGTGTTCTGACGGGACCGCCTGATGAAGATTTGGGCTTTGCACTCCCGTACTGTGGTAGTTTCGTCTAATTTTTTGAGCCTATACTGTTACTGTCTGGCTCTGGCTATGCGTCTTTACCAAGGCAGAGCACGCTTACCCATTATTGGTTCTCTTAAGGGGCGAAGTCCCACTGTACGGCTACCCTGAAGGGAAAACAAAGTATCCTCGGAAAAAGTCTGGGGGCAAGACCCAACAAGGACCCTTCCGACGTTCTCGGGTCCGCCGATCCATCTGGGAAAGTGGACTTAGCGTTGGCTAGGACAGACTGATTCATCTGTTTCTCTGATTTTCCGGACGCAACTCATGTGACCCTTTCAGTTTGGCCGGCCCCCGGCTACCGATCCGTTACTTTTCCCGGCCCGTAGATGAACGGCACAGCTGTCGGATTTGCAATGTCGGAAGAACGGTGGTTCCACAAGCAACATATCGCGCATGCTCCCGGTGGCAGTGCTTTGAGAATCCTCAAGGGTCCAGCTTCCCTGACATTCCAGCTGTCGTGGGGGCAGATTTTCCGAGTCGCATGGGTGTTACCATCGCGATCGTTGTGGATGCGTGAACCGTTACCCAACTATGACCCTTGATCCAACCTAAACAATCTTTTTAAGCTCCAAGCCGGCCGGAGTGTACCGGCGCTTAATTTGTTTCTTGGGGGTTGTGAAACGAGTCCTTGGGTAAACTTTTGTCGAATGATGGCTGATCTCGGTGAGGGTTATTATTGACCGCACGCGGGCATATTATACTTAGTACTTCTACTAAGGAGGCAAAGGGCCAGTTCACTGGCATTCCGAGGACGCTGTTCTCGCGTCTTCAAGCGCCGTGCTACCATGTATTCTTTATGGCAGAGCTGGATTCCATTCACATCATTTGTAAACGTCGGACTGCCCTGTACGTTTGTCAATCGACCGATGCCCGATTTGACGTGGAGTATTGGTCCCTTGAATTCAATAACGATTCAAAATATCCACCTCCACACTGGCATGGCTTGTATCGCGATTCTTTCCCTTTGCAGTTTAGAAGTCTTTTACATAAATGTTCATGAGATCTGATCCGCTCGTCCACAATAGTTTTATTGTACCCCCACCAGCACTAATTACGTGGGAGTGAAAATTTTCAGGGCAATTTTTTTTATTGCGCTTCCTGAAAAGTACCGAGCCTCGAGAATGCCCCGCAGCGTTGGACAAGAAACCATGAGGGAATGCGCAATTCTTTCGAGACTGGTTTCGCGCTGCTAGTAAGTCACGCTCAGCTCGTCTCCAAGCGCATCTACCTCATTTACCATTCAAAACAGGGAACGTCACTCTGCCGCACATCCTTGGCTCTGCCTTTCTTAAACATTCATTCCTATCTCCGCTTGGTCAGTGCGAAATCATCTGAAACTGCTTCCGCCATACATAAAAAGACTCAGGTACAGCTCGCCCTTCCCCATTTGCTTCCCTCCTTTTTCTCTCAGACGAAAGAGCTCTGCGCGAAAAAAGACACAAAGATTTGGAAAGAAAGAAAGTGCGTCTTCTATAACGTGAGCGATGATAAAAGTTCATTCCAAACCCCAAGTTGTTCACCCCTCCAGAAGCTGTTCGAATCCGCATGACGCTTTTTGACAATCTGATCGGGGGGTATCTTTCTGGGATCGTCTTTGCCACAACGTGAGAGGCAGTACGCTACAGAATGGTTGGATTAGTTGAACTCTTTATTCCATTCTAGGCTGTTGGGTGCCACAACCATCCAAGCGTACTGGTACTTTGCAAGGTTTCCCAAGGATCCATCATGGAACAAGCTTCTAGTGCGCGTCCTCATGGAGGCCAACTTTATCCGGTTGTTCCACGTTGGCTTACGTCCTTTATTTCTCAGGTCATATTCTTGATGTGCGCAGGCTCTTCGTAGTTTCCCACCATAGGCCAGAATTCAGCTATCTTCGTGATTCTGCAGAGGGGCGCAATTCCTCAACTTGTGGGTCTTGCTGCGACTGGTAACTGAATTATCCCGTTAACTATACAATTTCAGAGGTTGTATGATGAAAACCATGTACGGGCTATTGGTTCAATCCCTTGGCAGAGCCTTCACTCGCAATCCATGGTATTTGAACAGACCGAACTTAAAGATAAAGTTTAATGCGGTCCCTAGGAGTGGGAGTTCGTATCTTCTCGTGAACGTATGACATGCAACCATGTTATGTTCGATGGCGGACCTATCTGACTCTTTCCCCTAGGCTGTATCCTCTGTGCTGGTGCACTTCTTTTTCGTCGGGAGGATCAGGAAACGTACGGTACTGTTTCGTGCCAGCTGCCGTCCGAAGCTGAGCCGTTCATGCTAGTGACTAAAATCCGTTGGTTGCCTGCAACGATTGTAGGTGCCCCTTTCGGGTTTGCGTTATATCGTTCGCGAATACCACTTAGTCCTTTCCCAGGCGGTTGCATCATTGAGCATGCTTGGTGCGTCCTTACAGGACTGGAACTAACTTGTCGTTCCGTTAATTGAAGTCGTTGTCTAATTTGAAGGATTCGCCGTAGGCAAGTTCATTTAGCTTCGCTGTCCGTTAGTACTGAAAGACCCTTTGATGGCTAGAAGTATCTGTGAATGGGTAAGCTGACTTGTGTAAGCCTACCGTCATATTGCGATTTTCGCCACTGGCAGGTTTCGGTCTCGAGGTAATCTTGTGAGCGCCAAGCCTCGATTTGACATCACTGCATGGTGTACATGCCAGGTAAAGTCGAATTTCGAGTTTCTCAGCCTCCGAAACAAGGCGCTCTAAAGACTGCATTGAAATTGCTCAGGTGGTAGTGGACGTGCTAATAGCAAGCAGCATGGTTGGGCTGCTCTACCGCAGTCGCACTGGGTTTCTGCGGTATAAGGAAATCATCGCAATTACTTTGGATTCCTTTCTGACCTGATTTTCTAGAACGGACCGGGCCCTCACCCTGCTAGGAATATATGCCGTGAACACCGGCCTGATACCCAGGTATCTACGACCCTCCCTTACCTTTTCATACTTGAGGATAATAATGCTTCCCTCAGTATCTTGGCAATCGTAATTGAAGTCGCTGTAAGTATCAAGAGCTCTTATATGCGTAATTTCATTCATGACTAGCCGTCTGACTTGGTATAGTACGGAGTCGGTGTCCCTGGTGGGATCCAATTTATGTACCTATTCGATTGTATTGTGCGCTGTTTTATCTTGATGCTCCTCAGTTGAATGCGCTGACTCTGAGGCTCTACAGTCGTTAGGAGGGGTGTACACTTTCACTCTTCTTGCCAAGTATGTAGTAGTTGTCATACATCATCGATATCAAGACCGTGTTCACGCAGTGTTCCGCCTTCCAGCTTACATGCACGAAGCCGCGTGCAATCATACCTCAACCCAAGATCAGGCGAAGCTATTGGTGACCAGTCCATCCACCTCTCGCGAATTCCGAAGAGAGTGGGTGACAAATGGACTTTGTTCCCTTTCGCGGCCCATTCTGATCCGACCTTGTAGGTAGCGAGGGACTGGTTTTCGTTCGACGTTATTCAGGTTTCCCCTTACCAGTATAATGATGAACGTGAAGGTCAGCATCAAATGACAGACTTATTTCAAACGCTGACGGCCCTCCTCCATTGTTATTTGACAGTAGATGCAGCAGACGATCGTACAAGCGATGACCCACCCATGGGAAATCTATCCACTGTATAACGTTTCACCGCACTTTGTCTGTGAGGCAAAAGGTTTTCTGTTAGCCGCTGGCGCACCGCTCAGCGACCCATGTAATTTAGCAGACGGCCGTTCCAATACAGGGAGTTAAGGTATACAACTACTACGCCGCTCATGCGCTACCCGAATAGCCCCCTTCATCTGGGATTGTGATCCTCAAACTCAACGTTGTTGCGGCCTGGGGGATGGATATCGGTGACTGCAGGGAGAGATGGTAAAGGGGTGTACGCTCCGTCATACACCGACCAACACGCTGAAAATGGATTTCACTCCCTCACAGGTGCGTCGGGTCCACTCAATGGTCCATGCAAAGATTGACTGCGCATCAGTGGAAGTCTGTTTGGATTAGGCAATTGCGTGTTACGGCATTGTGGTAATAGAGAGAGCTGGGATTGTATGGAGGATCAAGGTGAATTGCGTGGTAAAGGTCGAAGAGGAGTTCAACAAAGATAAAAAAGTGTGTCCAGTGTTGGAATATCAATGCTCATCAACAACAGCCGAGCTGCAGTGAGGATTAGGGAGTGACAGGATTTCTTTTATTTGATATCATCGTGGCTGACAATGATTATACCTTTTTTGTTTCAGAGTCGCGGTACCATGCGCTCTCAATCTTTATTTTGTCTTACATCGCCAGTTGTCACGGGTGATCACTTTAAGTGATATTGGTGCCAGTTGTATAAGTTACGCTGGATGCCGCAATTTTTCCCTCCCTCAGTTCTCTGTATTGAGACTGAGGTGATACCATTTCGTTCTATCTATGTTTGTGTATAACTCATGTTATAGTTTACATGTAATAGGTAAAAGAACAATAACATTAGTTCTCCATATTGAGACTGAGTTTATGCATAATAGCTCCTATCTTAATAGGTTGTGATCCCAGCCATGGCCACCTCAAATGATAGTTCTAAGAATATTTACGACATTGAGAAATTAAAGAACGATGGTCGTAACTATTGAATGTGGTCTATTTGCTGCTGCATGATTCTCGTTGACAGAGCACTCTGGGAATTTGTCAATCCCAGTTCCAAAACCTCTGACAGACCTTCTGCATCTTCCTCCTCATTGTCCTCTAGCTCTTCTGGCAAAGTGGCTGCTACTTCCCCTGATCCTGCTGTTGTCGAATGGGATAAGAAGAACAGCAACGCTCTCACCCAGATTACACTCACCATTGAAGACACTCCTTTATCTATGATTGAAGGGAAAGACTCCACTAAAGAAGCCTGGGTTGCCCTGTTGAAACATTACAATGGAGTCGGTGCACAAGATGCTGCTAGAGTGATGACTGTCAGGGCATGCCCTGACATGCCCCTAACAGAATAACCGCTTGCTCTAGTAGTAAAGCTCAGTCTCACTATATGCGCGAGAACTATTATATTACCTAGTAGTAAAGCTATAAGGTAATATACAATGAGTTATAAGATATAAGAAAGAAAGAAAGATAACTAACCTCAGTCTCACTATATGCGTGAGAACTGAGGAAAAAGGGAAACTAATTCAAAAGATTGAATATAGTTTGTGGACTTCGCAGATAAGTCTGAAGTGACCAAAATAAGTAAGAAGAAAAGGTGTTGTGACCAAGTAGTCACGCTACCGTGGGAATGTGGCTGTCCGGGCAAGTTCCTCGCTCGGATGTGGGAATGTGGCTGTACGAAAACTCGTCCGGCCTCCCATAGCACGCGGTTCCTCCAACAGCCCCACCTGACCCCTGCTCTGCTTCCCCACTCCGCACCACGCCTTCTTCCTTTCCTCTTCCTTTCTTCTTCTTTCTCTCTCTTACATGGACCACCTTTCCCACTGTTCAATGTATCACTGGTGTGCACGCCCATTCCCCCTCTTGTATCTTACCATCCCTATACCACTGTCACTGCTGCCACGCTCACCTTGCACCTACAATGGACCCTCTCAGGATCTCCCACAGAGACACCCGGTGTAGGAGAAATAACGGTCACCCTATGGAAACTCATTATGGAAATATGTCAGATAAACCATGAAAAACCCCATATGTCAAGTAGATATGAGAAAATAGAAGAACCTGAATTTTAACGAATTTTTACGAATTATTACGACTACATACGATAAATTGGAAGAAAGAAAATTAGTAAAAATACTTCAAGCTTAGCATCAACAAGACGGAATTCTTGGGGGAATTTATAGCAAATATTAAACAAGGAACTAGGACAATCGAGCAAGATTTGACTATAAAACCAACCAGAGAACCTCCACAGAAACTACTTTCCCACGCCCGCACATGTAGCCGAGGATGGAAGTACCACGGAACAAGGATTCCTTAGGAACCTATGCAAAATTCAAAGTCGTGTTTATAATAGGAAATGTAGATGTCTCCCAAATGGACCCAATGAAAGTAATTACAGGGAAAACTACCCATAAACGATGGAGATATGACCAAAACTCTCAGAAAACGAGGACAACGTTTAAAAGGCAAGCGCAAAGAACAAGCAGTAACAACTGAGATGAGCTTGATAGCCCATTAGAAAGGAAGAAATCTAATCTTATTCCACCCAAATTTTCATAATAAAAGGTTCACGCATCAATGAGATATTCAATAACGGGATGAGCGACATCAAAGTCATGGCTCAGGGAAAAGACGATGTTTATGTAGGATCCATATTTAAAACACACAACGAAATTTACATGGAAATTATGATAAATAGTTATGCAAAGTTTCAGCCCAAACGGTCCAGCCATTGTGAAGTTATGCCAACAATGGGAATATAGAAATCCGCATCATGCTTAAAGACATGTGAGGGTGGCGATGCGAAAGGAACCGGCCGTCAGAACCGAGATCTGCACTTCAGCAGATCATGAAGACCAATTTCTGTCCAAATAAGGAAGACCCCAGTCAAAACAAAGCACAGAAAGTACAAAACAACCTTAGATCATGAGGGAAAAATCTGAAATAAATCACGGAAGCCCATATTGAGGATACAAACACCCATGCATACCATAAATCCTGAACAATTAAACAGAAATGGCACCTGCATATGAACGACTATGGGAACAATGCATGTGATTACCGAATGTGTGCACAAACTTTTGCTAACTCGACGAATACCAAGAAATAGAATACAACTTTAGTACCATTGGAAAGGTGGGAATAAATGAAAATTTATGATGCCAAGAACGTGAAAAACCATTCAGAAATGAATGAGATACAAGGACATGAAGCTAATAACCTGAAAACATGTGGGAAGACAGCTTCTAGAGGTCCAGAGCCCCAAATAAAATACATAAAAATATGATATCTTCGAGGATGACCTACTATGTATAACAACGAACAATACATATGAAGGACTAGGATGCAATAATACAAAGGGGAATCAGGGGAGATGGACGAAATCCACGAAATCCACTAAACTATGACGGACCATGGCAGGAATTTTAGGGAATGATATACTAATGAAGCGGAGAGCTATAATACATTTGTTTGAACAATTCTTGACTACTAGCAACTTTTTCTTTTGGTTCTAAACCTGAATAATTCATTCATTTATCATTTCAAGTCTCATTTCAACTAAATGTTACTGGATAAAAATAGAATAAATCAGCTGAAGGTCTCAGCACAGCCATATGCATAGTAATGCGAAGTTTGAATTCAGAATGAACGAGTCATGGCAAACTTAATGGTAAATATGAGGAATTTGAAATAGAAAACTGTGACAAATGCAGCGCAGTCAAGTTCTAATTAAACCATTAAAAAAGCTTAGGTGAGGAAGGACAATAAGGATTCTAGGCACAGTCTGACCACAGTAGAGCCACAGTTCAGCACAGCTGAGTGCAGTAGAACTATAGCATGAAAAATTCATTTTTTATTCAGTTTGAGGAAAATACACTGTAAATAAATCCTGTAAATATGAGGTAGAGCGTGAAAAAGGAAGGCAACCCAAGGAGTATGAAAGGGAGACCCTTTCTGTGACTTTTCGCCCCCCCCCTCAAGAAGTAAGAAAATAGAGTATTATTTTTCTCAAGCATTTCTGGTTGTCACTCCAGTGCGAAAAAGTGATATACAGTTAAGATTGCCACTGTAGTAAAAGGCAGCAATTAGGGAGAGAAATATTAAGTAAATATTTCAACAGGAGAGCTGGTTAACACTCCAGATTTCAAAGTGTAAACAC